AAGAAGGGATGGTAGGGAACACTGGGTACAAAATTGGTAGTGAGAAATAGGTATGAAAAAATATTTTATGACTGATAGGAATATAAAACAATAAGTTAATGGGAGACAAATGAAAAGGGAGAGAGGAAAGAAAAAATCATGAATGAAACAGGAGAAAGAAGTGAGGTGAAAATATAGCGATAAAAGGAGAGATATGAGAAAAGGGAAAATTCCCTTTCCCTCTTTTTTTTTTTTTTTTTTTTTTTTTTTTTTTTGGTCCTTTTGAGCTCACAGTGCTGTTCAGGCTGGCCTTAGCTCACTTTGTAGCACAGGCTGGTCTCAAACTTGCAACAGTCTTCCTGTCTCAGCCTCCCTAGTGCTGGGATTACAGGCATGTGCCACCACCCCTGGCCTATACTTGATGAGTTATATTGGAAGAGCAAAGGCAAGAGGAGCGCGCGCACATGCACACACACACACACACACACACACACACACACTTGCTCATAAGAGAACAAAGGATAAAATACGGCAATAAAATGTAGGAGCAAAATGTACAGAAGGAGGAAAACAGCAAAGAATAATAAAAATAAAAAAAGCAATAAAAATAAAATAATACAATCCAATAAAGAATAATAAGAAAGAGGTTTTATTGTTTTGGATGCATGGTTCTTTTCCTCAGCCTGGGGTTAAGGAGCAGAGTTCAAGCCAGAACGTATCTGTTGAGGATGGAAATCTAAGGTGGTAGTAGCCTTCCTCCCAGAACAGCACTGGATGAAGTGATTTGGTTACAGTGAGAGCATGTTGCCGATATGAGCTTGCAGTTCTATATGACGCAGTCTAAACCTGGCTTCTGATCACAGGCGCTTTGTCAGTGATCACCACCCCTGCCCCTCACTGGCACCCCCTCTCCCCTGCCCCATCCCTGGTCTGCTATCCAGCTGCTGGCTATATTTCTCTTATCCACTTTGGAAACTTGGCACTTTGTAGATTGAAAGACAGTGAAACATAGCCTTTGTGTTTTCTTCTTTTGGTGGGTGAGTTGTTGGTTGGCTTTATTTTTCTAGAGCTGACTGACTTTCTCTGTACATGGTAGGAAACTCAGTTACCAGTAGTACCAGTTTCATGTCACAGACTTTTAGCTCTACAACTGGCCTTAACAATGTACATCAGATCCAAAGGCATAAAAATTCCAGGAAGGAGCTAGACTTGGTGACACACACCTATATAATCCCAGCACTCTGGGAGTCAGAGACAGGAAGATAACAAGTTTGAGCTCAGCCTGGACAATTTAGCAAGATTTTGTCTTAAAATAAGACATAAAAGGATTGGGGATGTAACTCTATGCAAAATACCATTTTATCAACGCCCCAGTTTTTTCCAGAAAGGAACCTCTGGCCAAGTCACAATCATTTTTCTATCTTTGGGTCACTTAACTATGTCCACAAGTAGGGCTGTTTGTATTAATGTGTCAACTCTAGGTAGACTACTACAAGAGGGTTTTTTTTTTAACGTCTTGCTACATGGTTTAGGCTGACCTTAAATTCACTGTGTAGCCCAGATTAGCCTGAAACTCATGGCAATCCTGCCTCAGCCTCCCAACTGCTGGCACTGTAAATCTGTGCCAGCTAGATTTGACTGAGTGTGCCTTATTTTGTTTAGCATGATGGCCTCTAGTTCCGTCCATTCTCCTGCAAGCAACATTTAATTCTTTATGAATGAATAATATTCATATGTATACATCACATTTTTTTTTTTTTTTAATTTGGTACATGGTCTTGCTATGCAGCTCAGACTCATAATGATACTCTTGTCTCAGCCTCCTCAGCCCTGGGATTACAGGTGTGTGCCACCACGCCCAGTTTCAGTGGTGGCAGGGCAGCACAGCATGTGGTACCAGGGATTGAACGAAAGTCTTTGCGCTTGCCAGGCAGGCTCTTAGACTGTTGAGCTGTCTCCCCAGCCCTACATCACATTTTTAAATCCGCTCATCTGTGGCTCTTTCTTTAGCTTAGCTATTGTGAATTGCACTGCAATAATCATGGATGTTTATCACTATAGCATGCTGTCTTTGTTTTGAGACTATTTAATGATTTTTTTTTTTTTTTTTTTTGTATTTTAGGGAAGAGTCTACAGGGTGTTTAGGGTCTCACTACTAGATTGGATTCGTAGTGATTCACCTGATTTACAGCCTCCCAAGAGCTGGGATTATAGGCGCGTGCCACCACGCGGAGTCTCCATTGCCGTCTCCCATGACCCTGTGCCTGCTTGCAGGAACTTTAATCCATGGAGCTATTTGGCCGGCTCTAATGAGTGTTATAGCTGGATCAGTTCTCTTAGTTTTTTGAGGAACTTCCACATGACTTTCATAGTGGTTGTAGTAGTTTGAGTACAATTTTGAAAATTTATGTAGAATATTTTGTAATTTTTCACTAAAATCCCCAAATGAACATAGATATAGCAAAATAAAAATGGATAAAAAGGTCACATCCATTCAAATAAAATGTATAGAGTATTATATTTGGAGATGCTCATTACATTTAGAAGTTTGAAGAGACGATCTTTCTGTTCAGAGTATGTGATTCCAGAGTACTTAAAAAATATGAGTAAAAAATACATACACCAAAAAAATCACTTAGTGTCTATCACATCATATTAAAATTTCTATAGTATGTATTGTATGTTTATAACAGTTTGTGTTTCAAATAACTCTTGATTTTTTATACCCTGCTGAAAACATGCTTTATATTTAAACTGCTATCGTAAATTGGTAATTTGAAGAATTTACAAAACAGTAACACTAGGGAAACTGGCTTAAGAGCCTCCTTCTACTTCCTCCTGCTTTCTCCCTCTCCTTTCTTTTCTTTTTTCTTTTTCTTTCTTTCTTTCTTTTTTTTTTTTTTAATAAGGTACTCTAAGTGCCGGCCAAATAGCTCAGGGGATTAAAGCGCCCAAGCACAGGGGCCAGGGGTGTGATCCCTGGGCCTGCAGTGCCAGCCCTGCTCCCAGGGCAGGCTGAGATGACAATTGAGACTGGGCATGGTGGCATGTGCCTGTAATACCAGCTCTTGGGAGGCTGTAAACGGGTGGATCACTGAGTCCGATTTAGTAGTGAGACCCTGAACACCTTGAGGACCCTTCCCTAAAAATACAAAAAAAATTTTTAAAAAAATGAATAAATAAATAAGGGACTCTATTTATTTATTTTTGGTACCCAGAGTGCACGACCCCACACTTGCCAGGCAGGTACTGTACTGTTGAGCTATATCCCTGATCCTTTTTTTGAGACAAGGTCTTGCTGTGTAGTCCAGGCCCATTTGGACTGGACGTGTAATTCAGGCTGGCCTTAAACTCAGACTCCTCCCGACTCAGACTCTCCCAAATGCTAGAATTCCAGGTGGGTGTCAGGTTTCTTGAGAAAGATTTGCTTGGAACTTTTTTTAAAGTTTAGAACAACTTGAATGCTTTACACTTATCTTTAAGACAAAGCAGTTTGAGATTTATTTGAGCAGGTAAACATGACAGGTTAAAAACAGAGAAATTATGGACAAAAATTGATAATCTCAAGGCAAAAGTTACAAGTTAATGATTTTTCTTTAGAATAACTTTGTTGACAAGACTTATTTTTATTTTTTAAAAAGAATATAAAATAGTGATAAAATTAGAAGTGATACAGAATTTCACTAAACAAAATAATATGAATTTGAGAGTATTTGTTGTATTGCACCTTAGTAGTAGACTTATTTTTAGACGCTCCTATTCAGAGCAGCCACTTTAATAAATTTGTTTTGTACTTTTTCATTAATTTTTTAAAAATATGAAAACGATGTGTGATTTTAAGAACATTTAAATTTGACTCTCTTTCTAGTTCTTCTCTTTAGAAATGATTAATAATAATAATTTAAAGTATCCTTTTTACAGAGTTTATATTTTATAAGAATGAAAGTTTCAATTTGGTGGAAAAGAAAAATATTGTGGCTAGTTGTAATAGTGTATGACTATGATTGCAGCACCTGGGAAGCTGAAGTAGGATTTTGAATTTTCTAGACTGGGTCAAATTTGGGAGTCCTCCTGCCTCAGTCTCCTGGCATGCTGAGATTACAAATATATACCACCATGCTCAGTCTATATGAGCTGTGTTTTAAAGCTCTACCAACCTATACTGGAATAATAATTTCCAAATCCTAGGTGCTTTGTAGAAGTGAAAGCTTATTTTTGCTGCTGTGGTATGCCCCAGGTCTAGGTGACTCTCAAGGGCAGTCCCTGTGGTAGGTACTTTAGGAATCCAGACTGCTTTCCATATTCATTTTCCTGGGGCTTCTGCTGTTGCTTTAGTAGAACAAGGGACCTAGAGGGTTGCCTAAAGTTACATAGATCCTATAGAAAGCAGGCTGGTTTCAAGCCCAGGCAGTGTGGTTTGCTTCTACACTACTAGTCCACATACTAGTTTGCCTCTGATTCCATAAAGATTAATTAAGGTAGCATTTTAGTTTAAGAGTGTTAAGACCAGACATAGGTGCAAGCAAAGATAGTATAAATCGGAAAACAATTTGTTTAGGAAAGAGAATTAAGAGGTCACAGAATAATTTTCATGTAAAGAAATAGGGTTCTGAGGATGGTGACTCATCCCCTTAGTGATTCCTTCCACATTTTCTTTCTTACTACCTTAGTTTTAAAATCACTGATTTGCAAAATAAAAGAGCTTTGGTTATTTCTTTGAAATGTGTCTTTGTGCTCTTAGTTTCCCATACTGAATACTTTTTCATATTCTTTCTCTTTTCTTGTTTGATAGTATAATCAACTAAATTTTAATGATTATACTCATAAGCACAAAAATAAGCTAGTTTTCTTATTAGCATTTTACTCATGATAATGTATTGTTAATGGTAGTAAATGGTCATATTAATTTTTTATATCATGAAATTGTTGACTTTATGAATTTGAAAACTTAGAATATTAAATCCATTTAAACAAAATGTTATCGGTAAATTCATAATTTTCTAAAAATCTTCTTCCTGTAGAAATTTGGTTAAGAAGTATTGTCCCAAACGTTCATCCAAAGATGAAGAGCCAAGGTAAATTATATACGTCTTTATTATTGTATAATAAAAATCGAAACCTTTTCTGTTAATATTTAATAAAACAATGTTAAATTTTGTGAACATATTTAAAACTTTTAATTTAAAAAAATCAATGTTTATGAAAGAAAAGTACCATTTATCTTATTAGGATAAATCTTGATCATCAAAGTGAGTTTTCAAATCAGATGTAGACTAAGACAACACTGCTTGAATAATTTAGTCATCAGAAGGAAAGGTACTTTCCCTTCTGCACTTCATTTTGTAGTTTTCAGCTTTTAGGGCATTGTTGTTTTCTCGGTAGTAAAACGGTTTGGGTGGTTGGTTTAGAGGGACTGTGAAAATGCATGAGATTTTCAGAATAAGGTTTGAATGCTGAATAGGCGATCAGTAATTTCTTATGAGCTTTTTTGCAGTTTTAAACAGGAATATGTAGATAACTGTAAAATGCAGAAGAGAACTTTACTCTTAACAGACAACTTTGCATATAATTGCCAATTGTTAGGAACCTCAGGTTTGCTGTTGATGGAGTCCTGTCTGAGCTGTCAGCCTTTAGTTGTGAGAGTGTTCTTTCCTGTATTCAAAGTAGATATCTACATTTTAACACAGTGACTCTCTTTGTTTCTCTTTTTCCCTCCACACACATTTTTACCCTTATTTTTGACCCTTTTATCCCTCTTTGGTGCTGACTGAAATGGCCCTTCACTCCCCTTCAGGATGTGGGCAGGCATACAGGCAGCTGCACCCAGAGCTGATAGCAAAGTTGTTCTGTAGATCAGCCATCGAGATGCATTTGAGTGGTATGATTGGCAGGTTCTGTCCTCGAGAGCAAGCACATCATCTCTGCAACAGGTTGAGCTGCCAAGCCTAGGAATCCAACCAAGTTCATTCCCAAACTCAGGCCAGTCAGTTGGCAACCTAAGAGATTCCACTATGCCAAAAGAGCCTGCAGGTAGTATTCTTACTGTTTTTTGACCCCAAATATCCCTTTATATATAAATTAAAGGCTACTCAAAGATATATAAAAATGTACAATTTAAGTTTAATGTAGGATTCTTTCTTTACAAAATTAATTTAGAACTAGCAGTTTGGATGTAGGTTGGGTATGTTAAAATTTGTCAAGTGTTAGGTTTAATCATACCATACCAAAATATAATGAAAAGAGAAATAAATTTCACCGTTTTTAATATGTTTTGCCAGGTTTACCTCGTGTATAGCCTTTTTTAACATCCTTAATGAGTTAAATGACTATGCAGGACAGCGAGAGGTAGTAGCAGAAGAAATGGCACACAGAGTATATGGTGAATTAATGAGATACGCTCATGATCTGAAAACTGAAAGAAAAATGGTAATTTTTTTTATTCAATTATAATAGTTTTATGAAATATTTTTACAAATAATTACTTTGTTTTTAAAAATGTATGTTCATTATAAATGGATTTAAATTTCTTCTAGCTGAAAAATTACTGCAAGATATTCTTGCTAATCTATGAGACTTTTTTTCTTTTTGAGCCTTTTGGATTTAAGATTATTTGGCAAAGTATAGCATATGGTTCAAATCCAGTCTATGCCTACTTTTGTTTCCTAGTTCCCACAAGCTAATTACCAAATAGGTTTTTACAGTTTTATATGGTTGAAAAAAAAGGCAAGAAAAAAAATTAATGGCATGTGAAAATTATATAAAATTTAAATGTCCACAAAAATGTTTTATTGAGGCCTGGGAGATGGCTCAGTATAATAAGTGCTTCCCTGGCAAGTGCAAGGGCCTGAGTTCAATCCCCGGTTCCACCAAAAAAAAAAAAGAAGAAAAGAAAAGTGTTATTGCAACACTTATATTCATTAACTTATGTATTGCCAATGACTGCTTTTGGTTTACATTATGAAAGTTGAATGTGGCCTGGAATTTTAAAATACTTGCTTTTATGACCCTTGATAGAAAAGGTTTGTCAAGACAGGCATGGTGGCTCATGCCTAAAATCTTAGCCTTCTGGATGTTAAGGAAGGAGGATCACAAATTCTAGCCCAGCTTGGGCAAGTTACCAATTTAGGACTTTTTCTCAAAATAAAAAATGAAGAAATGTTGAGGACCTAATGCAAAGACCCTTGGTTCAATCCCTTTTGTAAGACAAAACAATCTGTATGCTGTGTTACTTGTCTGTAATCCTAGCACTCTTAAGGGTTGAGGTAGGATCAGAAGTGCAATTTCAGCTTGGGCAGTTTAGTGAGACCCTGCCCTTCTGTACCCCGAAAAGTCTGGGTATGTAGCTTATTATGAAGGCCCAGAGTCCAGTCTCCACATCACCAAAATGAGAATCTTTGTTAACCTCTACTGAAGATGCTTTTTATTTCTTTAGATTTTTCATCTGTTTGAAAAGGGTATATTTAAAGTACTAAAATATTATCTTGTAAAGTGCATTTGACTTGGGTTTTGTTTTGCTGTTTCTTAATAAAGTTATATAATTAGTTTCTTGAAACAACATTGTAAGAAGGCTTTTGTGGACTTTAAACGTTAATATTTAAAATGTTTTATTTTTGTTGGTTTTGTTGGTGGTGTTTATAATCTCTAGCATCTCCAAGAAGGACGAAAAGCTCAACAGTACCTTGATATGTGCTGGAAACAGATGGATAATGTGAGTTATGTTGTTTTTCATGGTTAACATATTATTTTGGTCACTCTAGGTCACTCCTAAATTCTGTTAAGCTTTATATCTTAATTTAATAATTTCAATTCATAATTTGACTTTTTTTTTTAACATGGTAGCCAGTAAAGTATAAATGGAAGATATCAGATCCCCCCCCCCATATGACTATTGTACTTGTGTGAGCACTCTAATGTTCTTACTATTCTAAATATGTAGGGAGATTCACTTGGACTTTTAAGTGAAGCTATGATAAAATATTAGTAGGAGATAGAAGTAGTAGACTAATGGTGATGTATTGTAGACCATTTGAGACTGGAAAAAAAAAAAAACAAAAAACAAAAACAAGGTACTAGTTCTACCTTTTCTTAGCATTTGATTTCTCCCGAGTTCTTTTTAACTTTCAATTTTAACTTCATTTTGAACTAGGTTATATGAAATATTTCTTTCAGTTTAGTAATTGTATAATTCTAAAAATGCTTCTAATATTGTAGGAGAATGAAAAGCAAGAACAAAATATAAAAGCATAATAATTTGTTTAAAAATTTTCCTGAGGTGCTTGCTAAGGTGGTTTTTCTTCAAGGTTCTGGTATGTAGTAATTTGAAAAACAACATCCCTGCATGAAGTGCTATATATTCTTTATGTAAAATGCTGTATTAAATGATGTATATTGTACAAAACATTGTGTTTTAACCATGCATAGTGGCACTTAACTATAATCCCAACACTGGGAAGAAAAGATACTCTTTTTTAAATCTTCAATTTATCAAGCAGGTTCATTTTTAATGGTGTATTTTTGTTATGTACAATATATTCTTTGAGAATTTGCTAAGGAAGCTTTTCATGTTAGTTTAGTCAATGCTTATTAGAAAAATGACTTTAAAATTGAAATTTTGAAAATTTGTGCATATTTTTGGAATATATTTGGAAATACAGTTTTCTAAAAATTCATGCATTTCTTTTTTCAAAAAATGTATATTCAGGACCTCAGCATGGTAGCACATAACCTGTAATCCCAGCACTTAGGAGGCAGAGCCAGGAGGATCACTTCAAATTTGAGGCCAGCCTTGCCTACGTAGTGGGTTCAGGGCTAGCCTGAATTACCTAGTGATACCCTGTCTCAAAAACAAACCCAAAATAAAACAAAGAAATTCATATTTAAAGCCTAGGTTAAGTTTCTGTTTTGTAACTGTTACTGGTAAAAGATTTTGTTCACCAGTGTTGATCAAGAATATGTGTTTTAAGCCGGGTGTGGTAGCATAGGCCTGTGCTCCCAGCACTCAGAGGCTGAGCAGGAGGATCATTGGAGTTGAGACCAGCCTAGGCTACCAAGTGAGCTCAAGGCCAGCCTCAACTGCCCAGCAAGACCCTGTCTTTAAAAAACAAACAAACAAACAAACAAACAAATATGTTTTAATAGTCTTATTTCATTTTTGTTTTCATTTTCTCTGATTTTGGCAAGACTTTTAAGGAATAGCTTTATATCTGATTTACTGATTAAATTGTAATTGCATTAATATCTGCCTAGTAATGAATGTTTGTATATGCTTCTGTGTTTACATTTGCACAAAATAATAGACTCTTACACTGAAGAGATATTGACTCCTTTAACAGTTGGTGTTGACACAAGTCATTGTTGATAATTAATGTGCTGACTTGTCTTTAAAACAATAGTAGCTATTAAGGAAAAGTTACAGAGGTCATAAATAAGAAAGAAGCTTCAAAAAAAATGTAGGGGCATTTTCTTCAAAGCATTAGTGATACTATGAAAAACAGTGAGTTTAATCCTACACAGGTTTTTTGAAAACATCCTTTACATGTACCAGGTCCAGGATGTATAAAAGTGAATATGACTGGCTCTTAATTTTCATGCAACCTGCTGTCCAGTGAAGATTAGCAAATATAGTTTCTGTTTAATATATAGGAACAGACATAGGATCCTGTTCTTTAGTTCTATGTCTTCCTGTTTAGCCAAGAAAATAAAATTCTAGAATTTTTAATAGGCTTGAAGTAATTTAGAGATGGTATACAGACCTGGGAAAATAGGTTGAATTAGTGGCAGAGATTGAAAATTTATGGAAAAAAAATTAATCCCAGAATAAACAACATAGATAGCACTGGCATTGGTCTGTGAAAGAGCTCCTGAAGGAATGGTTGTAGATTAAGAAGCATTAGTGATGCCAGATCATCATTTAGGTGTTTCCAGGTAACATCATATACTTTTCTACTTACAAAGCTCAGAAGGTAAGCCAGTATTTTTAGCATTGTCATCAAGGCTGCATGATCTTCTTTTTCTGTCTGTCCATGTTATGGTTTATGTCTAGGTGTCTCATGCAGTCTTTGGGGTGGCTTCTGGAGTTTGACTGATTGATGATCCAGTGCTAGGATTATGGGTGTGAGTGCTGCACTTGCCTGGGGTAGATAATCTGGATTACAATGTAAGGAGGGGAGAGAAGCTTGCAAAAAGCCACAGCTGCTGCTTCTCCCTTTGCTCTTTGCTGCCATGAAAGATTGCTCTCTACCGTATTGCCACTCTACGTTGGAGCCAGCCAAGTATGGACTGAAACCTTATTAACTTTGAGCTAAATAAACCTTTCCTTCCTTAATTGTAGATGTGAGTATTTTGTTCCAGCGATGAGGAAAAAATAAATGAGACAGTCTTCTTATTTTGGCTGGTTGCTTCAGCCTTATGCCCTTCATCGTCGTCCTAGGCAGGCAGGTATATCCTCATTTAGGCTGCTCCTGGAGGCAAGACAAAAAAAAAAAGTACTTATTTTCTAACTGTTCCTTTTCATCAGGTAAATAAAACTTTCCTAGAAAACTCCCAGATTTCCTCCTAGATACCATTAATGAGATTAGCCCAAGGTGTGGGAAGGTTGGGATAACATGTGATAGCTGTTTTCAGCCTGTTGCAAGGCAGGTTTTTCTGCTGTAAGAAGCATGAAGGAAAAAAAAAAAAGAGAGAGAGAAAAAAAAAAAGCATGAAGAATCTCTTCTGGAGTGAAGCCCTATATTGTATAATAATATACTGTGTTTAGGAAAAGTGTTTTTAATTCTGTTGATGTACTTTAATTCTTAGCATGTAGCTATTCAATTTAAAAATATAGCTGCAAGCTTTAGAAGGCTACATGTGGGAATTTAATCTTAATTTTTGTAAGAAAATGACATTTTGTTATTGTGCTTAGCCAGGTATTTTTGTGTACTCTGGATAAAAGGTAGGTATAACATGGGGATATCATATTAATCAAAATACTAAGTAAGGACTACATTTAAAGAATTTCATAAAAAATTTCAAAGCATATTCATTTGATGTAAATTACAGAGTATATTTAGTTCTAATTATACTATCAAGCTGAAATCTCTTGATTACAAATCCCTAGCTAAAATGATTTTTTTAAAGTTATATTTTAAGTTCTTTGGCTTTTTTTTTTTTTTTTTTTCTCAAACTTATGACCTAGACACTTGTGCTCCTGGGCTGTTTCCCTAGCCCTTAAACTCATAGGTATTTGGAAGAAAGTGAAATCTCTGTTAAGAACCTAGTGATTAAAAAAAAAAAGAATTACTTTATATCATGTACAGGTACAAATTCCCTATGATGAATGTGATATGTATACCTAAAATGGACCAATAAACTTAATAAAACAAAGAGCAGTAGACATATAAATTGGTGCAGTGGCATTTTAAAAATGGAGAAAAGGATGTTGGAATATAGTGGTTTACTGGGCTTGGTGTTTTCTACGGATTTGTTTATTTTGCTACTGAGAATTGAACTCAGGGCCTCCTGCTTACCAGGGAGGTGCTGGGCCTCTGAGCTACGTCCTGGGCCCAGGAACTTGTGTTTTAGTATATGGGATCAAAAATTATGTTTTAGTTGTGTATATTGTTGGGAGTTGAAACTGAGACCCTTGAATAAAATTTGGACCTCTGAAGGACTAAACCTTTAGCAAAAAAGTAGATTGTAAGAACCCGGTCCATTGAATATGAGACATATCAGTGAAATTTATCCCTGTCTGTAGGTCAAGGGGAGGTATATTGTGAGAAACTTAAATTCTTGATTTTGTAATCATGAGGTTTGGGTTCCAGATTTACACTATAAATGTGGTTTTGTATTCCTCAAGACAAGAAATTATAACTGGTTCTAAAATGGTTAGGTAGGGGCCAGAGATACAGCTTTGAGGAACAAATGCCTACCTGGCAAGCACAAAGTCTTGAGTTCAATTTCCAGTATCAAAAAAAAAAAGCTTAGATAGGTACAAAATGTTAAGATTCTCCTTTGCTTTCTTCTGAAAATTTAGAATATAGGTAGCAAGACTTTTATTTTCTAGGTAGGAAATTCGAAAGGCTTTCTCTGGGAAATGTAAGCAGCTAGAGAAAGAAAAAATTAATACAGATAATGCTGTTAGGGTTTTCCCAAGGAAATTCCCTGTGCCTTTTACCGAAGAAAGACCATACTAGCTTAGCCTCACATACAGAGCTTTCAGTCAGCTTTCTAAAGACAAGCTAACAGAACTGGATATGATGGCACACACCTATAATTCCAGGATTGTAGAAGGCTAAGGCAGAAATGATTACAAGTTTGAACCTAGCCTAGGTAATTTAGAAGCCTTAGCAAGATCCTGTTTTGAATTTAAAAAAAGACTAGGGATATAGATCAGTGCAAAGACCCCAGGGATAACCCAGACTGTGGCTCTGGGTTAATCGCTGTTAACAGACAGACAGACATTCTCTCTCTCTCTCTCTCTCTCTCTCTCTCTCTCTCTCTCTCTCTCTCATCCTTAGGCATTTGAAGAAATCATCTACTATGTAAATAAGAGACTAAAACTCAGGTAACTAATATTCAGCAAAAAACAAACCAAACTCAATTTAGAAGAAACCGTGACCATGAAAGGAAATGATTAAAAAGTTTAACAGATTAAGGGAGCTGTGCAAGGTAGCAAGCATCTGTAATCTCTGAGGCTGGGAGGGAGAGGAGGATCAAAAGTTTGAACCCAGCCCAGGCAATTTAGTGAGACACCCTATAGGGGGTTTAGGGACTGGAAATGTAATGTTCAAGTTTCAGTCTCTAGGACTATAAGCAAAAACATGTAAAAGATAAATAAAACACCCACATTGTTACTAATATTCTCAAGGGAAATAGAGAAATACTACATCCATAAAATAAAGCTAAGGTACTATTTTAAAAGGAACATACAAATAATAAAGAACTTTATGGTAGCAGAAATGAAAATGCCTTTAGAAAAAAAATGAAAGGATAAAGTTGAAGAAATCTTTCTAAAATGACAGATTGAGAATGTACAAAAATATAATAAAATGAGAGGACTCACCTAGTAGTTTTATTTTCAAAATAGTATCCTTTAAAAAACAAAATAGAAAATGGGCAAAAATAAGAAAATGTCCACCAAATTGAAAGACACAGGTTTCTAAATGGATTTGTATGTCTGCAGCACCACAGTTCAATATTGAAGCCTTTAATCATGAGATTTCAACTGTAGGAGAGTATTCCCACCAGCCACCAGAGAACAAAAGAAAAGAAACATGCTTTATTACAATGAATCAGTAATGAAAATGGAATTGGATCATCACAGGAATCCAGAAAATGCCTATAGTTAGTTTTACATTTTGATTTCCAAATTTCATCAATTAAAACTGATGGTAAAGGAACTTTTACTCATGGAAACTAAAAAAAAAAAAAAAATTCACAGATATTCTAGGAAGCTACTGCTAAATGTGTTCTATCTGAATGAGGACTTGAAACTAGAAAGGGGAAAGAATGGAACTAGGAAATAGGAGACCCTTATAAGACAAGTTCCAGATATCCTCAGGATAACGAGAAATGGAAATTCCAAAAAGACAGCTGTGCTACAGTGGAGCTAGGAGGATGGGGTGATGGGCGGTACAGTTTCTGGACTGCATTATCAGGCAGAACCAAAATTATAACAGTTTATTCCATTTTGATGCTGCAAAGATTTGAGTACATTGAGATAGGAATGATTTTCTCATTTTAATTTTCTATTTAAATAGGTTAACATATTCTGGTATGTTGGAGGGTGGTACAAACTCTAGGTAGGGCACTGTAGCTGTGCACTATGGCTAGTTGGTAACAGGTTCAAATTTAAGCAAGGTAAAAGCTTTTGGGAGGGTTGGAGAGATAGTTCAGTGGCTTAAGTGCCTGCCTGGCAAGCACAAGGTCCTGAGTTTGATTCTTTGTACCCCCTAAGTAAAAGCCTTTGGGACACTGAATTATGAAAATAAAATGATAAAATTCTTAATAAGGTAGAATTAATGGGGCTGGGGAGATAGCTCAGTAGATATCAGTAGGGCCTGAGTTTAATCCCCAGTTCCACAAAAAAAAAAAAAAAAAAAAAAAAAAAAAAGATTTAAGTAACTGGGGGGAAACTGGGGTTGAATGAAAGATAAGAGCATTGAAAATTAGGCTTGGCTCAGAAAATGTGGCCCAGTTGTGAATGGCTTATATATACAAAGTAATTTGAATTAGATAAAAACATTAAAAAAAGAATCTAAGTCTGGAGCAGTGGTATTTCAGGTACTTCTGGCAATATAAAACTATTTTGGAGTTTAAACTTATACTTGAAAACCCACCAATGAGACAAATACCAAACCAAAAAGACCTGTTGAAGGTGAACGTATAAAAACTTACAAATTAACAGATAAGATGAAATGTGTAATAAGTATTAATTGTGCTGCTTTTCTTCACTATCTGTAGTTAATGCCTGATTTTAAGGTACAAATATATTATAGTAATAAATTTAGTTTGATTTTGGAAGAAATTTTACTTTTAGTATGCAGTTCATTTTTACAAAATATAAAGTGGCAGGATTTTAGAGTTATTGCTTAAATGAGTTAAATCTAATTTTATTTTCTCAGTTGATATTTAAATTTTTTTTTTTTTTTAAAACAGAGTAAAAAGAAGTTTGAAAGGGAATGTAGAGAGGCAGAAAAAGCACAACAGAGTTATGAAAGATTGGATAATGATACCAATGCAACCAAGGCAGATGTTGAAAAGGTAAGAAACAATCTATACCATCTTTGATACCTAAATATTATTTGCATATGAAGTTACACCATTTGTATCAGTGTTAGAAGTTTCTTGAGATGTACCGCTGTGAATCTAAAATATACAAATATTTCCTACTGGTCTGTGAAGATGATATGCTATTTAGTTTATTATAGTATTTTAGTTGCATTCAAAATGCAGAGGCAAGAAATAGTTGCTACTGAAATTCAGTTTCTGTTGTATTCTAAAATAGGACAGAAAGCCTAAGATGTGTCTATCAGGTATGTCAATAATTATATGTACTGTGCCATCTTTACTAAAGAGAATACATAATAAAACTGTCAAAAATATGTGACAATAGCCATTTATTTTGGAAGAAATTAATCTTTTGTCACTGATTGTAGGCCAGATGTTTATAACTTCTTGACTAGTTCTGTAATTGCTGCTCATTAGTTTCCCCAATCCCATTAACACAGTGATAATATTGAAATGTTGGGATTTTGAAAGATAGATGAACATTACTTCACATTGTATGTACTAAAGAACTACATATGTATATTTGTTTTTTTTTATTTGGTACAAGGTCTTGCTATGCAGCTTGGCCTCATAGTGATTCTTTTGTCCCAACCTCCCTAGTGCTGGGATTATAGGTGTGCAACTTTTGGTGGCCAGCGTAGTGCACCCGGGGTTCTGGGGTGGCAAGGCATACGGTATAGGGGATTGAACCAGGTTTTTGAGCTTACCAGGCAGGCGCTTAGACCACTGAGCTCTCTCCCCAGCCCATTAATTATATTATCTTCTCTGGATTTTATGATTCCCTAAACTATCAAATGAAAAAAATGGAACACTTCCTTTTCTGCCTTCCACTTTCTTTGCTAATTAAAAAAAAAGGAAACCTTAAATTCATATAAATTCTAGGCTATAATTACAAATCTTTTAGCATAACTCATGATGCTTCTATATTTTCCACCCTATTTTCAGTGATTTAAACTTTGACTAATAGTAAGTTTTCTATAATTAGAAATGTGTGATCTCAGGGCACTCTTTTTTTTTTTTTTAAGTTTTAATCTCTTTTTTTTGGCTTTTGAGATACCATGGAAAAATACCAAATATTTGTTTTTCATAATAACTTTAAATACTTAGAGTAAATTCTCTGCTCCTAGAAAAAACATTGTTTCAATTATTCCACAAATGAAATAGCTCCATTATCTTCCATTATGATGACTTTCCTTTTGATACCCTTTAATTTGTCAATACTTAAATTGGTTTTTGATGTGCTTAATAATTTAGGTGTGATCCGATTTGTTTTGCATTTATCTCTTTAATTTAAATATTGACTTTATCTTAGTAGATCCCAAATGTGTTTGGACTTGGGCAACCACATTGTTTGGATTTACTCTTCCTGAGTTTATGGTTATCTGAAACCTTCCAGTCTTTTCACATGTGCAGTGCAAAAAGGACTATATCTCAGACAGAATTGAGACTGTTTTAAATTAATATGTACATCTTTACCAGTTACTAGATTGGCTCTTGTTGTTAAGGTTTTAGAACTTGTTTGTTTTTGCAGGGTGGATGGGCATGGTTTTTTGCTTTGTTTTACTGAGATATGGTTTGTGTGTAATCCATGCTGGCTTTGAACTTGTTATGTAGCCCTGGCCTATCTCAAACTTGTGATCCTCTTAACTTAGGCCTTCTGAGTGCTGAGATTGTAGGCATATGCTATCACACTGGCCCACATCCTGATTTTGATCATGAGGCCAACTTTCTTCCCAGAACTATGCCATATATATATATATATATAATCAGTATAGTATCATTACTTGATAAACATTTGGGGTACAACAATTATAAAAAGCATTTTATACATGGGACACTTCTTTTTTTTTTTTCAAAGTTTTATTGACAAACAGATAGCAATGAGACAGTTTCAAATCAAATCGGAAGGACAGTTTCAACAAATAATACACTGCATATATTCTTCTTAGTGGTTAATTGCTGTACAAGATGCGAACTTGTGATCCTATTTACAAACACCATTAGAACAAATCATTCTATTCATTAAGAGAATGCAACTATATATCTATCCCAACCTCTTTGAATACACAGATACAAAATGGACATTCATCGGTATACCCTATTTTTTCTAGGTTCTGTTATTGAATATTATAGGTGTGTAAACTCAGCAAAATATTCTAAAAGAGTCCAGTAGCCTATAATAGCATTGGGGACACTTCTTTTAGGTTGACATTAACTCCTTAAGAACTTTGATGTTCATTATGGTTGTGTACACCTGTAATTCCAGCACTTTGGGAGGCTGAGGCAGAAGGATTACAAATATGATCCCAGCCTTGCCTAATTTAGGCATTTAGTAAGATCCTGTGTCATTTTGTCTACAAAGATAATTTTAGAGAATATTCAAACATCTTGAACTATAGATACAACATATCTGCTAGTTGGTTTGAACTAGTCCAAAATTTTAGTGTTTATAGCTTTCTTTTTTATGGTCATATGATTGCAGTTCTTTTATTTAGATAATTAAGGGAGGCTTCACTGGTTTGAGCTCCAGGCCTTTTCTTTCTGTATACTGATGGAGCCTCTGCCCCAGGCTGTGGGAATCACAGCCAGTTATTTGGAACTGGAAAAGTTCCTCATGACCAAACCTTGTGGGTAGGGAATTTGTATTATTCTGTTCCACCATTGTTTGTGGTAGAAAGAGAAAAAGGAAGGGCAAATGAATGTGTTCTTAGGATTCTAAGTTGGAAGTTTTGTGCAAAAATACTTCGGGCCTTAATATTTAGTCTTAGGACTAGCGAGATAGTTCAGTGGACTAAGTGACTGCTTAGGTAAGCTCAGGGGCTGGGATTCAATCCCTGGCATCACACTGGCCCTGTCCAGGCGTACTGAGTCAGTGACTGAGTATGGGTGTGGTGGTGCACACCTCTAATCCCAGCGCTAGGGAGGCTGAAAACGAGGGATCAGTATGAGTCCAAGCTGCACAGTGAGACCCTACACAAAATACAAAAAAAAAAAAAAAAAAAAAAAAAAAAAAAAAAGAAAGAAAAGAAAGAAATTTAGTTTTTTGAATACTTATTTATTGGAATCTTTTAAGTATACTGTGGATTGAGTGGGTTTTTATAGGCTTTTCAGAGATTTTTGACTGTCACATTCTTTGTTAGGTTATTTCTAAGTTAAGATCTAATTTATAGACTACTGTTAGAAATGCAATACTATATTTGTATATATCTCCTTAAACTTAATAATTAGTAATTTGAAAGAGTCAGACCACTTTGTTAGTCTCATGATGTCAGGTGATGGAGTAAGCACCTATCTGATCTGGTTTGGGGATAATTTTCAGAAAACTCTGTTGCTGTGATTTTGTTGTTTTTGATAATGACTTGAAATACTTTCCTTCTAGGCCAAACAACAGTTGAACCTGCGTACACATATGGCTGATGAGAATAAAAATGAATATGCTGCACAGTTACAAAACTTTAATGGAGAACAACACAAACATTTCTATGTAGTGATTCCTCAGATTTACAAGGTAAATTTTAGGTATATGAAGTTAACTCTTCAGTCTGAGAGTTGGAAAAACTAGTCTTTAAAAGTAAAAATTTTGTTTTTTTATTTTTTGTAGTTCTGGGGATCTCAAGAGTCTCTTGCACACTAAGCAAGAGCTAGACCATTGAGCTATTTCCCTAGTCCCCATACTTAAGTTTTTCTAGATTTACTAGTCACTAAAGTTAGTGATGAGCTATGTGATTACACATTTGAGAAATAAACTTTTCCTATTAAATCATATATTTTCCTGTTTTATTATTAGTATAATAAAGAAATAGCTACTAAAAATGACATTTTTGAAATAAATTTTAATATTGCACTATTAAGAATTTTGACTGGCTGGGGAGATAGCTTGGCAGTCTTATTACCTGGCAAGTGCAAGGACCTGAGTTTGATCCCTGGTACTGCATGCCATGTTGACCCCAGAACCAGGTATGGTGGTGCACACCTGTAATCCCCGCACTAGAGAGGCTGAGACAGGAGTATTACTATTAGTCTGAACTGCATAGCTGGACTCTGTATCAAATAAATAAATAAATAAATAAATAAATAAATTAATTAATTTTTTTAAAAAAGAATTTTGACCTTATAGGAAAAATTCATTGAAGTTGTATATTGTGATCTGTTCAACTAGAATTAAGAAATACCTTTTTGACATTATACCAGAATCTTTAGCATTGGTAAAATATGGTAGCAGAAATAAATCTTCTAAAATATATTTCCTAGCCTAGTTTCTGCTTGTTTGTGTTTCTGGTCTTAGTAGAGCATAATTAATATTCAAGCTAACTTGCTTATCAGTTTTGTCTGGCATCACTTAATGATAGCAGTTGCCAAAAAGTTAAAAACCCTAGAATTTTGAAGGTTAAATTAAATTACTTCCCTTTCTAAAAAGAAAAAAAGAAGAAAAGAAAAAGAATTAGAAGAAAAAGGTATATGAAATGATGTTGAATGAAGTGTATCTGATGGAGAATAGAGATTAGATAGAAAGAATATCAACCCAAATGTACTTTATTCTTTTTCTAAAACAAGGTGAAAGTACTAAGGAAGCATAGTGAGAGAGGGCGGACACCTAGCACTGGGTATTAAATTCTGTTTATTTAGTTCAAAATCTCAAGCCTACGAGTGCTTACTCTGTGATGCTTTTCTGGACTAAGTTTTACTTTTTTTGTATTTTTTAGTAAGGGTCTACAGGGTCTCACTATGTAGATAAAGACTCATAGTGATCCACCTGTGTTCAGCCTCCCAAAGAGCTGGGATTACAGGCATGCTCTACCATGCCCAGTCTCAATCACCCTATCAGCATGCCCCAGGGGCAGGGTGGCATAGCACCCCAGGCTGCTGTGTTTGCCTAAGTAGGAGCTTTAATCTGCTGAGCTATTTGGCTGACCCTTAGCTATCTGGCCGACCCTCAACTAAGTTTTTGTATACTGGGAGAGAACTTAACTTGGAAATAAGCTACCTTTATGATTTGGTCCCTGGTCCTTTTATTTGGAACTTGATATGGAGTAGCTCTGCCACTTTGGAGTAGCAGAGCACTTCTTTTGTGAGGCTACAGGTCTCAACCTCCTAAGCTTTGAGAAGTTATTAAAAAGGAAAAGTGGTTTGAAGTTTACATCATTTGAAGACTTGGTAGTATAACTGCTTCCTAGGGGAGAGAAAGGTGACTGTCAGTAAGTAGAAAATATCAAAAATATAGTTCCTTGACGTTATTGGGCTTCATGTATCCTGACATATTTCACAGTAAGATGTCAGTGAATTTTGATTTGTAGAGATTCTATGTATGTGCTACTTTGACTGCATGTTGCTTGTTTTTCCTCTTGTGTCCTCAACCATTAATAGTCCTTCTGAACTGTAGGTGGGAGGGTATGTGGGAGGTATTGTGTGTAGCCAACTATGGACATTTGATTCAGCCAGCCATTACAAAAATATTCTAAACTAATGTAAAGGATTGAAGTCTTAAACTTTTATATATTATAGGCTGATTGTGTTAAAAAAGTTGGTGCCAGAATTTTGTCTTCAAATCAAATTTTTTCTGGGAGCATAAATAATAACTACTCTAGAGATAAGAAGGTAGGAGAAGTAAGAGGGAGTTGGTAGCCTGGAAGGAGTTCTGATAAAAGACTTGAAAGCCACTGTTACCTGAGTTTTGGTTGTATGAAAAGCCTTATTTTTTTCTTTTATGATTTAGCAGGTTTCAGATTTTAAGTTTCATATGTCCATAAAGCACTTGTTGAAAGATACTAATTATTAGGGTAGAAATTTTAATTATTTTAGGAGAGGATTACTAATGCTTTCTTTCAGAATAAAATAATAGTTTTCATTATTTAAATTTTTTGCTTATTAGCAACTGCAAGAAATGGATGAACGAAGGACTATTAAACTGAGTGAGTGTTACAGAGGATTTGCAGACTCAGAACGCAAGGTTATTCCCATCATTTCAAAATGTTTGGAAGGAATGATTCTTGCAGCAAAGTCAGTCGATGAAAGAAGAGTAAGTGCTATATAACTGACTTTGAATAAATCCATTTGGTTTTGGTATGCAGCTAATAAAGAAATTGGTTTGGAAAAGAAACAATCTGATGAGTACTCTGTTATATACTGTAGAAGATAATTTTATATCAAGACTCTTTTAGATGTAAAGATCATTGTAACTACTCAAATTTTGAGCCACTCTCCCAAAATTTACTAGTCATCTTGTTACCCCCAACTAATTTTTCAGTTCTAATCCAATTTGTGAGTTGTGTGTTACAGACTGTCTTTTGCTGTTCCTCTAATGAAAGTTTAGAGAAGGATATGGTCTAGAGTTGTCAGAGTTGACTTTAACACAGGAGTTGGTTGGTATTGGGCTGGACCAAGAAACACGGGTAACATGGAACAGTGACTCATGGGGGGAGCAAAGAAGGCATTTTGAGTAGAGGGAATAGTAGTGCTCCCCTCTTTGAGGAAATAAATCGAATCTTATTGTATCTTGACTAAAATATAGGAGAATCTATGGTTGTTTCTTAGTAAATATTGAGCAAATGAAAAGCATGGTTAACAGAAACTGAGAATTCAAAGGAAGAGCAAGATAAAATAGTTATCTTTAGGCATGGTGGTGCACACCTGCAATCCCAGCACTTCAGGAGGCTGAGGCAGGAAGATCCTGAGTTTGGGCCCAGCCAAAGCAACTCAACGACTTAATGAAACCCTGTCTGAGAATTAAAATAAAATAAAAATAACAGGTTGTGGATGTAGCTCAGTGTAAAGGCCCTGGTCTTCAATCTCAGCACCACAGACACACACAAATGAGGATATCCCTTTTTTATTTTGTATTTTTAGTGAAAGATCTATAGGGTGTTCAGAGTCTCACTACTAGATAAGACTCATAGTGATTCTGTTTACAGTCTCCCAAGTGCTAGGATTACAGGTGCGCACCATCATGACCAGTCACAATCGCCATCTCAGTGTGCCCCGGGGGCAAGGCTGGCATGGCAGGTCCGGGGATTGAACCCCCAGGCCCTGCACCTGCTTGCAGGTATTTTAATCTGCTGAGGTATTTGGCTAGCCCTGATGATTTATCAAGAACTGGTAGGCAGTCTGAGCATGGTAATGAACAGTTGTAATCTTGTCATGCTTGGAGGCTGAGGCAAGAGAAATACAAGTTTGTGCATCCTGTCTTAACAAAACAAACAAAAAAGAGAGGCTCTCAGGTGTGTATCATATATTTTAGCCTTCATAGCACACGCATCTGGTAGATACTAGTGAGGATCATTCTTGTTAGAATTAATAGAATTCTTATATTTAAAAAAGGACAAGAGGATTTTGGGCTTCTTTCAGTGAGCATTGCAAAGCACATATATGTATTTCACTGTTGCTGTATCCCAGCTTATACAGTAGAGTTAGGGCTGTTCTGTTCCTTCACTTTTCTTATGTTTATCTTTTAAGAAATGATTGCTAGAGGGATAGCATTAGTTAGAAAAGTAAGATATGATATGTGATAACTTTTGACTTAATAACAGGCAAACAATGTTCAGGTAATGGAAGCAAGGAACAAAAGAGGAGAGATGATTATAGGTAAGGAGAAGTTTGTAAAGATAGTATACTATTTGAAAATGATGGGTTTTACTATGTCTGTAAAACATTCAGATAGAAGTATGCCTAAAATGATATATAGTATTTACATAAGTGTTTAAATTTGAGGTGTTAAACTTTATAGTTTTACACTTAAGTTTTACATAGTGAACTATTTGTGAGGTCCAGGATGGTTTGAGGTCTTTCCCTGTTGCTCTGCTAACATCCCACAATACATATTTAACGTATTTTACTTTTCCGTTAGATGAATGAAACCTTCATAAATCATCATTTCTGATAAAATGCTCTTTACTTTTTCCAAAGATCAACTTCTTTGTAGACATATTGTAAAACAAAAGACCTGTTTTTTTTAAAAAAAACTTTATTATATTTCTATTTTATCATCTTTTTCTGTGGTCTTTTTCTTATATCTTTCTAACCAGCTAGAAAGAGGTTAAAGCTACTGAGTAAAAAATTCATGAGTACTATAAATTGAGTGATAAATTCGTAAGTTAGAATATTTTTCTATTAGGATTAAATATGTAAGTTTTATTATAAAGTCACAAGAGGAAATTATTTACTTTAAAAGTTTAATTTCAGAATTAAACTTTTGTTTCTTTGTACCAATTAAAGTTTTGAAAGCTAATGTATTATGAACAAATGAAATGTTTTGAAACCTTTATTTCTTGTTTATAGGACTCTCAAATGGTGGTAGATTCGTTCAAATCTGGTTTTGAACCTCCAGGAGACTTTCCATTTGAAGATTACAGTCAACATATTTATAGAACCATTTCTGATGGGACTATCAGTGCATCCAAACAGGACAGTGGGAAGGTGGATGCCAAAACCACTGTAGGAAAGGCCAAGGGCAAATTGTGGCTCTTCGGAAAGAAGCCAAAGGTAAGTGATAAAATTCCTGTTTGCTAATTAGATGTTTTTGAGTAAGTCAGTTAAATTGATTTGGTATTGAACAAGTAATGATACGTTGTTAATGAAGAGTAGATGTTTTCAATGTGAATGATCCAGTTAACCTTTTACTTATTAACAGTTTTATGTGTTTTAAAAAATATTTCTGGATTTAACATTTGACCACCAACTAATAATGAACAGAAATATTGACTAAATTGTAATGTCTAGTTGATTCATTTGTATTAAAAATTTCACTTGTGTATAGTTTCTCTCAGAATTTCTAAGGAAACATTCAAACTAAAAGACTATTAAAATTGCAATTCTCAGGTGGAATGAATGATTAACCACAGTAAGGACCAATGTCAAATTAGATCTTAACATCATACTATTATAATTATTTTCATCATCCATATATGTTTTTAACTGAAGTTTTGGTTATTTTGAATTAGGGTTTTTAAAAATCACTAGTTTGTTAAGAGAATCTTATTCTTATTAAAATCCAGCTTTTGATGTACTGTGTATTTTAGACTTAGGTAAAACTAGCTCATGAAATGAGCAGATGGAATAGATGAATACTTTTTATCAAGTTAGTGGTTATAATGTAATATCAGAAAGAATAGATATATACCTTTAGTCTGATATGCTACATTTATGTTTACTTGATTAAATTCACCTTTTTGATCTTGGTGTAAGTGTAGATAAAATTGAACTCAAAATTACATATATTATAAATATATATGAAAGCTTTAACTCAGTCTTTATGCTTTTAATAATATTGTTCAATAAAGACATTAAAAGGTGAGACTTTTAAAGTCAGATTAGCAACTGGACTTGCTTAGAAATATAAGCAGTACTGAATTTTGTTTAAAGAGAGATGAAGTAGAAACTGTTTCAGCTGGGCATGGTGGTACATGTCTGTAATCCCAGCACTTGGGAGGCTGAGGCAGGAGGATCGTTGCTAGTTCGAGACCAGCCTGGGCTACAAAGTGAGCTCACTCAAGGCCAACCTGAACTGTACAGTGAGACCCTGTCTCAAAAAAGACCAAAAAAAGAAAAAAGAAAGAAGCTGTCCCCACAGAGTCATTAATTTAATGAAAATTTTTCTCCTAATCAGATAACTTTAGCTATAGCTGCTACCTTCATCTGTTGACCAATAATGGGTTAAGTATAATCCGAATAAAAGAGACTGGGTCATATATTGTTTGAACATTGTAATTTATGTAGTCTGTTTTAAAATTTCTTGTTTATAAAGATGATCTGGTGAAATGGTATAATTTTAAAAGTTAATTTGACTTTTATAAATTACAGTTTTTGGCAAAACCATGTTTATTTTAATACTTTATAGAAAACTTTCTTTGAGGTTTATTTTGTAATAGTATGTTGCCAAAAGTAGAATTTTCATTAGGAGAAAACTATGCACACTTGGCTTATTGATTCCTTTCTTTATTTCCATATTAGCCACAGTCCCCACCCTTAACCCCTACTAGTTTATTCACATCCAGTACTCCTAATGGGTCCCAGTTTCTCACATTCTCCATTGAGCCCGTGCATTATTGTATGAATGAAATAAAAACAGGGAAGCCCAGAATTCCTTCTTTCAGAAGCCTCAAAAGAGGGGTAAGTTTAAAAATGGGTTAAAATGCATGATGGCCTATTGTGTGTGTAGTGTGGCTTTTAATACTCTCCACCCTCATTATAAGGCTCTCTCCTATAAATATGTAGTTTAAAACACCACAGTATTAAGTATAGCTGCCCTTAAGTTAAAGACAACTCCTCTTTATAACATTTGAAATGTTCAGCCATAAAAGAATGGTGTTATAAAGAGGGTGCTGGGTACAATCATATTTTAGCTATTTTTTTGTTTATGTGAAATCATATGTCCACCATTGTCTTGTAATGTATTTACATTTTTAAGACTTTCAGTAATTTGTCACTGGAGTTGTAATAATTTGTTACCAATACTGACTTCACCTGCCAAATTTATAAAGTATTTTGTTGATGATAAAAATATCAAGCTTCATTTTAACCACCCTGCTTAACTTTTAGAAGCATAAAACAAAATTTGCAATAGGTTAATAAAAACTAAAAATAAGTATGCTAGCCAAGCATGGTGGCACACACCTATGATCCCAGCATTTGGGAGGTAGAGGCAGGTGGATCTAGAGTTGAAAGTCAGCCAAGGCTACTTAAAGAGTTCAAAGCCACCTGGAAGCATATAACAAGGCCCTATCTCAAATAACCTATTATTTATATTAAATATAAAGATTGTTTGTAAGTCAAGTTAATAGAGGGTACGTTTATATTATAAAGCTCAAAAAATATTTAGGTATTATTCAGTCAGTTTTACATGGAAGTTATTAAACTTTTTTTTAGCATATTTCCTTTACTATTTTTTTTAAATGATTAGCTTTTGACATTTAGTTATTCCTAATAATACTCTGCAAATGAAAATTTATAGAATAGTAAACTGCAGCTAAGTATTGATTTGTTTCTTAGCAATAACTGTTATTCTCCTGATAAATAAATTACTGTCATTCCATTATATTATTGAGGATAATTTTTCTCCCCTTCCTTTATTTGGCTCTGGCGGTTGAACCCAGGCCTTTGCTCATGCTAAGCATTCATTCTACCACTGAACCATATCCTAATCCTTTAATTATTCTTGTCTGTATTTGAGTTTTAGGATATGCTCTTATAAATTAGATTCATTTACTAGGCCTATATGAATATTGGAAAAACAGACATGATAATCCACAAATGAAAAATCAGTCATCACTGCTGTAGGAAGTCTAATCATGAATAGTAATACATTGTCATTGTATTCCTTTATTCTTCTACTTCCTAGTTTCCTTTCCTTTTTGTTCTTCTTTTTCCTTCTGTGTGTTTTTTTTTTCCTCCCCTTTTCCTTTTTGTAGCCCTTCTGATAACCTAATTGCATTTTGGCCATGAGTAGAAAAAAATGTTTATTTACGTTTTAAAGATACGACGTTACTAACACCAGTAATACAGCAGAAATGTTCCAGTGTATTATGACACGTCTACTTTTTTTTTTTACTCCTTGAATGAAATGAACTTATTTGTTTCTATCTTGCCTAATTCTATCTGTAGATAACATATGTCATTTATGGTACTTTGAAAAGTCCCTGTGGATGAGTTTATATTGTACTTACAGGCATGCTGTTTCCATTTTTTAAAAGCCTAACACTAGTTTGAAAGACTAAGAAATCATATTTGGGATTTCTATAGTCTTGAGTTATGAGTAGAATTTATTCCTGTGTCGCTACTTTATATCATAGAAATACAAAATAAATACAATTTTGTGAAAAAAATTTAGGCAGTTAGTACTAGAGAAAGAGGCTTTAATATATGACATCTACTTTCTTACTGATAGAATTAAATAACAAATAGAATTTTACAGTAATGGAACTTAATTTGGGAGATCATTTTTGTTTTATTTTCATGTAGTACTTTAATTTTAAACTTTGGGGAGGAGGATAGTTTTAGAAGGCTGAAATATCCTTTCAGTTTTAGCACTAGTTACTATGTAAAGAGGAAATTGGTATGCATGATAGAAAATAACACAAGGATAGGACAAGAGGCAATTGTATTATAACCTTAGGATTGAAATATTTCTTTGGTCTTTGGTAGTTTACTAGGTACTATTTCAAAATTAACCCATAGAGACTTTTCTTCTTCCACTTAAGAATTGTATCAGTGTAGCAAAATTGAAAAGAAAGAAAATAAATTTTAATAAGTGAGTTGATATGTTTTACATGGATGCTTTTGGTCCTTTAATCTTCCAGAGTAGGTCTTGAGGTTTTTAATTTAAGCTGGTGAGTTGTACCATTCAATTCAGAAAATCTTGTTTTGGGCTGTATTTGTTGAGCATTGTTTTTCCTAAGTATCTTTTTAAAAAAGTATATTTTTTTTGAAAGAAAAACTAGTTTATGCAGTTCCCTGTATTAGTAAGGATATGACAAATGTTATTTTAGGCCATTGATGGTAAACTTGTTAAGAGCTCTCAATGATAACAGAACATTTTTTTTTTTTTTTTTTTTTTTTTTTTTTGGTGGCCTCAGGATGCCTTCAGGGCAGGTCTGGTTTGGCTTGAGGATGGAGGGGATCGAACCACAGCATCCTGAGCCTGACTGCTCAGGCACTTAAACACCTGAGCTATTGATCAGGCCCCATAATACTCTTGTTCAGTCTTTTTTTTTTTTTTTTTTTTCAGAAACAGGGATTGAACTCAGGACCCTGCGCTTGCCAGGGAAGCGCTCCCTGAGCCATCTCCCTGGCCCCAAAATCAAAAAGGCAGAAGGATTTTTTTTATTTTTTCTGGGGGTTGGGCTGCTCAGGATGCTTTCAGGGCAGGTCTGGGTTGGCTTGAGGATGAGGGGATCAAACCGCAGCATCCTGAGCCTGACTGCTTTGTTTTAGCAGGCACTTAAACACCTGAGCTAATGGGCAGGCCCCCTCAATGATAACAAATAGCTGGCTGCAGCACATGTGCTGTAGGTTCACCAACAGTGTATTAGACTAGTAATTTTGAGTTTGACCAGGGTACCGGTGTACTGCTGAGGAATGAAAAATCTATAATTTCTTCCTTTGACAGCAAGTGTATTGATATTTAGGAAGTATACCAAAACTTGTCTGCTTGAATATCCACACTAATAATTTCCACCCAATAACTACTTTATTTGGGTTTCATTAGGTATTCCTTTCTGTAAAAGTTATGATTCATCTAGCAATAATAAATTCATGTTTTTGTCTAAAACTGGGGAGCTAGCTCGGTGGTCTAAGTGCTTACCTGGTAAGTTTAAGAACCCAGGTTTGATCCCCACTACTACATGTCATGCCAGCCACCAAAACTGGGTGTGGTGGTGCAGATCTGTAATCCCAGCATTGGGGAGGCTGAGACAGGAGGATAACTATGAGTCCGAGCTACATAGCAAAACTCTGTACCAAATAAATAAATAAAAAGATTTTAAAAATTAAATTATTTATGACCTTATAGACTTTCATTTTTTTTCTTTTTAACTTTAGTATGTTCAAAGTATAGTTCTCTGGATTTTGACCCATTTTAATTGCCTGATTTCATTTTTTAAGTTCTTTTGTATAGTATATATTGGGTATGTATATGAAATTTTTTAGTTTATAGGTTTATTATAATTGTATATGAGAGTATGGTATTTTTGCATTGAACATGTATTACTTTAAAAAGTATACAAAATGTTCCTGACATTTTTTATCAAGAACTTGCATCCCTAAATCCAAGACTACCAGACCATAGAATTGTTTTCTATTTAATAGTGAAACTAGATTAGTTATAGATGGAAATCTTTGTTTTTTCAGCTATAATTATCTTAATGTTTTCTCTAAAAGATATTAATACAGAAATTTGGAAAACTATATCATTTCGAAATTTAACTAGTGAAAATTGTCATTAAAAATAAATACTTCAGATATTATTTCTTTGTATATTATAACATTTAACACGATTTGATGAAGACAATGAATATCTTTCCTTATTTTTAGACCTTTTTATTTCCTCACCATGAATTTTGTCATAGCAAAATAAATAATTTTTGTTTCTTAAAAGTACTGACAGTCTAAAGAATGTTAAGCTTAGTTCAGAAAGATAATGAATAGCAAATGTCATTTTCATTACCATTAATGTTTATGGTCAACTCATCAGAGATAAGGGGTAGATATTTTTGCTGGGTATTTATTGAAGTTCATTTTCTTTCTATGACCTTCTCGTAAAACATCATGATTTAAACTAAGTGTGGTGGCACATGCCTATAATCCCAGGTATTTGGGAGTGTGAGGCAAGATGACCACAAGTTCAAGGCCAGTATAGACAAATTTGTGAGACCCTGTGTAAAATAAAATGATTAAAAGGGGGCAGGGCTGAGGAGTGACTCAGTGGTAGAGTGCTTAATTAGCATGTATGAGGCTCTGGGTTCAATCCTCAGTACCAGAAATTAAAAATCATTGTTTACAAATATGGGGAAAATGAAAAAAGTAAAGCCTGTAGCTAAAAGTAATGATTGTAAAGACATTCTGTAATGTTTACGATATATCTGGGAGATTGTGTGTGTGTGTGTGTGTGTGTGTGTGTGTGTGTGTGTGTGTGAGAGATTTATATTGTATAAGCAGTGTGGTTGATTTCTTCACACTTGGTGTCACTTTATATTTTTAGAAAGAATACATTTTAATCAGTTCTCTAACATTAGAGTTACATTTTTAGTATTTTAAAAGCATATGCATTTCAGAATGAAAACTGAAAAATGGAGACTTTTAAAAGCAAAATTTGACCCATATGTTTGTGTCTATCAGGAAATATGTCATGCAAACTTGATTCTAGGTAGCTAAATTTATTACTTTGACAATGATATAACTTTAATATAACCATGCATTTAAGAAGAGGCACCTTAAAGCTAAAAATGTTGCCTTCATGTAATTGTGATAAATTTAAGTTAAAAACAGTATTTATTGAACCTTAAACTTTTATACAATGATGTTTTCTTCAGTGCATTGGAGAAGATGTTCTATTTTTTTAATATTTTATAAATGATTTCTTTTTAAATTATTAACCTTAGATCTTTTTATTCCACTTTTCAGATAGGGTTTTTGAGAATGAAGATCTATATAAGTAAATCTCACCTATGTAAAATGTTCTTTAAAAGAAAGTGGGATGATTACTAATATAATGATTACCTTGGGTTTTAGTTAAACTAGAAAATATCTGCCCATTATCATCAGTGTCTGCTGTTTATTTATTTATTTTGGTTTTTTTTTTTTTTTGCAAATAATTTGCTTTCCCAAAGTGTGCTTAAAATTGTCTTCCAGTCCCAGTATAATTGTTTGGATTGTGAAATGTACATGCCTTATTTCAGTATTGTGAAAAAAAAAAACCAAAAAACAAAAAAACACTGTAGGTTATTGCATCTTCTGTATTATAGCTTCATGTAAATAATTTACCATTTCTTTCTGTTTTCCATTGAACTATTCAGTGGTCGGTGAAGATGGTAAGCCTTGTGTGCTGCTCTATATACTGTGCCAACATTAAGTAACCTTGAAACATTGTTTTGTTTAATTAAAAAAGTGGTAAAATACATCTCACATTTTCACTCTGTGTGTGTTTTTACTTCTTTATAGTTTAACCCATAGTGGAACATATGCCAGTACCTCCGAGTGTCATAGATTAGAAAATTATGTGGTTAATTGTCAACAGTCTGTTTTATTTCTTAAATATAATTGGATAGAGTTCTTGCCATGTTATAGGAAGAATGAAATCATAGTTAAACATATTTAAAAAGTTACACAATAGAGCAAAAGTTCATTGTATGCAGAATAAAAACGTAACAAAAATATTAGAATCTTTTAAAAGATCTTAATAATTTGATTTATAATTCATTATAAAAATTGTTAGATTTTTCCCAAAAAAGGAATTTTTTTGCACTATGGATTAAGTGTTCTATTCTTTTACTGAACGGGAGCAGAAGCATAGGTAACCTAATTAATATCAGTATGAGTGTAAAGATCAGAGAGAGAGGGACGAGGGGAGAGAGAGAATGTGTGTGTGTGTGTGTGTGTGTGTATTTGGCATGTTCTTTTGTATATTTATTTCAAACATTATTGAAGTTACAATGTGAAGTACAAACTACCAAATTTGGAATAGCTTGTATAGGAAGCTTATTTAAAATAGGTTTTGGAAAATAGCTACTTTTTTTTTTTTTTTTGATAGTTACAATTCAGCCTTTTATAAATTCCCTTTTAGTTAAGACATCATTAAATGCCTCAGAAGGCTTCTTTACATTCATAGGAAATAGAATGAGTTAAGCTTTTGTATTACAATATTGAAATGGAATATTTGAAAATGCAAGTAATTAGGTATATGCCATATATAAATTTGATAAGATCTGATTTAGGGAGAAGTAGAAATCAGATTTACTTGTGTGGATAATTGTCAGTTTATTATATTATCCCAAAAAGGGCTATAACATTGCAATGTGTTTCTTCATTTCATTAAATAATTTTTTAAATATTTTCAGAAATATTTTTAAAAATATAAGTTAGAAGCTTATCTTTGGCACATATATAATTTAAAACTTGAACCCTAATTAGAATAAACCTAACAATTTATGTTGACAATTAACTACTGAATTTAAAGGAACTTTGTATAGGAAATTTTGCCATTCATATATTTAGGTTGGATTTCATTGATACTGTTTCTGGTGACTGATGTAGAAAAAACAAAAGCTACTTACAATGCCCTACTTTTGAACAGCAAGCTTATTGACTGTCCAGTGTGGGACCACTGGGGAGTTTAAGGATCCTGTTATTGTTACATTTGATTACATCTCATCCTCAATATGAGTTTTTTGCATTTTAAAAGTAATTGAAGCATTCTTACACATGATGGAATAAAGCTATGTAGTGTGTATTATTATTTTGGGAGTCCATTCAGCAACTCTGAAGAAAGCTGAACTTTACTATTTACAAAATAACCATTTTGAAAGTAAAATGAAAAGTAGTAGCTATCATCAGTTTTTGGAGTATATACAAAGTAAATGCACATTTATGTTAATTGTTCAGTAGTTGCTGATAATGGTTTGTTTTATGATCTCTAATCATGTAGCTAAAGTAACAATGACCCAAATAGCATTGAAGAGGAAAACATTGTCATTTGAATAAAATCTTACATTTTAAACATGAGCACTTTTTCTTCACTAGCATTAGTTACTTGATTATTAAGCCATTAAGAATTTCCCAGGTACCAAGGATCCTTCCTACAGAAGGTTGAAATCTTTTCTTTGGGATTTGTGGTTTTTTTTTTTTTTTTTGTACGTTTGAGGTGATTTATTTGGCTTACGTAAGAAAATTTAAAAAATATTCTGTGTATGAATACAGTTTACTCAGTGGATAATTTTTTTAATGATCAGATGCATTTTGATTCCAAAGAGTGATTTAATAAAGACTATATATAGTATTGAAGCATATTTCATTAAACAGTTTCCATTGTGAGGTAAGTTGCTTACTTAAATCAGTTATATAAACTCTTCATAGTTTTAGTTTGAATACGTGTAGCATTGTATCGTGGCAATGAGTTTGATTTGGGAAGATAGTGATAAGTGGTATGTAAAATAATTTGTATAGATGAGAAATGTTATGTGTTTCCATTTTGTTGTTGTTGCTGTAAGAAGATTCATATGTATTCGTTTTAACTCTGCCAAGATTTGAAAGTATTATGATACTAGTAATTACCAATTACCTAAATGTGGCATTTTTACCTATTTTGTTTCATGGTTTAAAAATGTGACTGAAATGTGAGCTCTTCAGTGTAATTGTGTTCATTAATACATCTATGTAACTTTCCTTTTTTTATTAAAGGGGTTGAGGCAAATTTGAAATTAAAATTGGTATATAGTCTTATTTTAAAATAAGTAAATTTGAAAAATAAAATTTTCTGAAAATGTCTTCAGTAATGATTTAGATTCTCTTTTTCAGGGCCCAGCTGTAGAAGATTTCAGTCATCTGCCGCCAGAACAGAGACGTAAAAAACTTCAGCAGCGCATTGATGAACTTAACAGGGAACTACAGAAAGAATCAGACCAAAAGTAGTGTTTCTTTTAATTTTTCTGTATCATTATTATTTTTTTAAGAGTCTACTTTGATATGTTTAAAGGTGGTGTATAGAACATTACAGAATCATATATTCTGGTCTGAGAAAATAGTTCAATGATAAGAGTAAAAATTAAAAAAAAAATGATAAGAGTGTGCCTTTTTCTAAGAGGCCTGAGGCACTGAAATACCTTTTTTTAAAAAAAACAGATTGAGATAATATTTCACCATGTAGTCTAGGCTGGTCTTGAACTCATTGTTGTATATTCCAGACTGGCTTTGAATTTGTGATTCTCTTGCCTGAACCTCCCAACTGCTGAGATTACAGACGTGTGCCACCATGTCTGACTCTGACTGAAGTATTATTTGAGAAAAAAGCTAACTCCTAAATAGGAGAATTTTCTAGTTGCCATGTCTTAGGCAAAAATGAAATACCAGAGAGTTTCTGGTTTTTGTTTTGCCTTTCACATTCTTGTTAAGTTGTTATAGTATGTACTTATGTCTTCTGTAGACTTGTAAAATGGTTTGTTGATTCATTAAGAGTAGTTGAAAAAAAAAAAAAAAGTAGTTGCCCCTTTTTTTTTTTTTTTTTTTTTTGCAGAACCGGGGATTGAACTCAGGTCCTTGCGCTTGCCAGGGAAGCACTTATTCCACTGAACCATCTCCCCGGCCCCCAGTTGCACTTCTTATACTTCAATAAATTTTCAGTTTTTTTAATATATAAATTGACCTTAGTAGCAACTTGAGCCTATAATTATTTGCTGCAAAACATGCTAGCAAACTTTTGTTCATTTTGTGAGTTTGTTTTTACAAGTTTCCTTTAGTTCTTTTTTTTTTTTTTTTTTTTTTTAATGTATTTAGTACAGGGTCTACAGGTTCTCACTACACAGATTGGACTTGTAGTGACCCTCCTATTTTCAGCCTCCCAAATGTTGGGATTATAGGCCCATGCCATCATGCTCAATCTTAATTACTGTCTCAGTGAGCCTGGGGCGGAGAGTGGGGTGGGGCTGGCACATCATGTGGTGCCAGGGATCAAACCCTAGTCCCTGTGCTTTGCCTAAGCAGGCACTTTAGTCTGCTGAGCTATCTGGCTGTCATTTATTTATTTATTTATTTAGTTTTTTTTTTTTTTTTTTTTTTTTTTTTTTTTTTTATGGACAGAGTTATTTAGGATGAATAAAGCATTGCTAAAATGAATTGGGAACTTAGTATATATTCTTACTAAGAATGAAATTGTGTGGTTGGAGATACAGCTTAGTGGTAGAGTACTTAACCTCTAGCATGAGAGATTGAAGTTTTAGTTTTAAGAATTGTGTAGCAGGTATTATGGTGTGCTTAATCACAAATCACATATTAGAGTTGATTTTCATATTTTATAGCAGTTCATAGTCACCAGGAACACTAAATTACTGAATATTGAAACATTTTTCCTTGAGAAAATATAAGGCTAAGCCACAGGTAGCCTAACACTTTCATCAACAGATAGATGCATAGAAGGGCCGGCCAAATAGCTCAGTAGATTAAAGCACCTGCAAGCAGGCATAGGGGCCAGGGGTTCAATCCCTGGGCCTGCCTGCTGTGCTGGCCCCACCCCGGGACATGCTGAGATGGTGATTGAGACTGGGTGTGGTGACACATGCCTGTAATCCCAGCATTTGGGAGGCTGTAAACAGGAGAATCACTATGAGTCCAATCTAGTAGTGAGACCTTGAACACGCACAGCGTGTTTTTAAGACCCTTCCCTTAAAAAAAAAACAAAAAAACCCAGATACATATATACATACACACACACACACACACACACACACACACACACACACACACACAACTTTTACGTATGTTTTTGATTTAAAATACCTTTTTCAATAGTGTTGGTTAAATTTTGAGCTTTGCCAGTAGCATTTGTAATTCATGCCTAAACAAAGTTTTGTGTAACACACATGGTATCTCTATAAATACCATCACAATCTAATTGTATTTAGGAACACTACACAGCATTATATCGAAACTGTTGTAAACTCCAAGATCAGTAACAGATAGACAGAAGTGAGAAAAACAGCGTTAAATAGATTGCAAAAGGACACTCAAAGTACGACAGTTGAAACTAGAAAGTAAAATATTGCCTTGTCTGATCTTGGCTGGGAACTTGCATGTGCATTCAGTGACTCAAGTTCTTCTGTCCTATGCATGAGTGACAGGAAAGCACTTTGAATACCAGTTTTAGTTTACAAATAAATTATAGTGAGTAGGCAGTTTACAAATACGGAATCTTGGGGGCTGGGGAGATGACTCAGTAGGGCTTGAGGTCAATTCCTGGTTCCTCAAAAAAAAAAAAAAAGTTCAAATTAAGGTGAACTATATTCATTTAAATAATGTTTAGTATAAATTAATGTTTCTTAGAGCAACATAAAAGTCTTTGGAAAATTTAACATTTAGTCTAATATTTGTTGCTTTAAGTTTACTCCAGGAATTGTGAAGATACAAAAATGAAGACAGTCTAGTTCACATTCTAGTTGGGGAGGGTAAGACCTCCACAGCCTATAATTTGTACACGGGCAGGATTATTGTAACTGCTAATAGATATAAACTTTGCGGGGGACCTAGAGGAAAGAATTATAAAATTTTACTGAGATTAATTAGGAAGGACTTTACTGTACTGAGGAGACTGGGGGACGAGAGAAAGCTGTAACCTAGAAAATGAATATTTATTGAGTGATTTTTTAAAAAGATAGCTTTTTTTTTTTTTTTTTCTTCTGATACTGGGGATTAAACTCAAGACCCAACACTTGCTAGGCAAGTGCTTATTCTACTGAGCTATATCTCTGACCCAAATTTTTTTTTTTTTTTTTTTTTTTGGGAACTGGGGATTGAACTCAGACCCTTGCGCTTGCCAGGGAAGCACTTATTCTACTGAGCCATCTCCCTGGCCCTTGAGTGATTTTTATATCAGATACTGAACTCTGCATTTTATATGTCAACTGAATTCTTCAAGTAGCTTTCCAAGGTTATTGTTCCTGTTATATAGATGAAGAAACTGAGTGTCAGCTAAATACATTTTTTTTTTTTTTTTTTTTTTTTTTTTGGTGGAACCGGGGATTGAACTCAGGCCCTTGCGCTTGCCAGGCAAGTACTTATTCTGCTGAGCTGTCTCCCAGCCCCTAAATACATATTTTTGACTAAGGTTAGGTAACTGGTAAATGTCACTTAATGTCCTAGACACTAGTTAGCCTGTCTCTAGAACATTGGAATTGGATCTTGTAGGGAGAAAGAGATTTTGTTAGATAAAATGAGGGAGATGGAAGGAGTATTCAAAAAATGGGAAAGACAATAATTAATAACATAGAAATGTGAGTACTTGATATGCCTGGAATTTAATCTAGGTGACTTTATTAAAACTGTAAAGTGTAATGACAGAGCACGAATGTGAGAAGATATAGGATAAAGTAGGAAAGATTTTGAACATTTATTTGGAATTCTGTAGATACTGTGTAATCATCAAAAGTTGTTGAAGGATAGATACGAGCAGCTTTGTATCTTAAAGAAAGGTAATTGAAAATTGTATGACGAGTAGATCATAGACAAAGGAGACAGGAGGAAAGGAGACAAGTTAGGGGACTAATATTCCAGTCAGGAATTGTCAAGATCCTAAGTTAAATGATGGCCATGAGAAAGGAATAAAGAAATAGATGTAAAAGTCATTTCAAAGCCAAAATACATTGGACTTTTTACTTGATTGGATGTAGTAAAGGATCAAAATGAAGGGGGTTTAAGGAAAAAAATGCTTGTAAACTCCATCACTATAGAATTAATTGAAACAGTAAAAAAAAATTGGGACAAAAATATGGTTTTATCTATGTTGGTTTTTGAAATATGTGAAGAATCTATGTTGAAAGTATCCAGTTGGGTTTGAAATACAAATTTGAGACTTAGAGAATAAAGACTGGATACAGACATTCAAGAATCACCTGATGGTAGAGCAATAAGAAATCATTCTGAAAGAGGCGTGTAGGATGAGATGAGAAGAAACCTGTCATTTTATGTAACAGACATTTAAAAATTAAGCAAGGAGGAACCAATGAGAGATAAAAAGAGAGCAGAGGTGAGGAGAAAGAGGAAAAGAAAATGTATCTTCTAGATCAAGCAGGAAAAGAGTTTTAAGGTATATTCATTTTTGCTGTTGGATGTTACAGTGAAGGAGCACAGATTAGGTGAAACCTATTGTAATATAATCAGAGAAGAGGAGCTAGGTTAAGGGGAATTGACAAATGATTGAATTGAAAGAGGGGGCAAGTTAAAGATGGCATTCTATTTCTAGCATAGGTGAGTGGGAAGATGGTGATGCTGTGTGAACCAGAGAAGAACACTGATAAAATAGTAGAGTTGGATGGGGATACAGTTGAGTTTGATTGGGATGTGATGAATATATGAATATTGAGGAGTATACCAGCCACTTATTAAACCTATGCATGTGTGTAATCCTTGTTTATAAAACAAGATGAGGGGGCTGAGGAGATGGCTCAGTAGAATAAGCGCTTGCCTGGCAAGCTCAAGGGCCTGAGTTCAATCCCCAGTTCCGCAAAAACAACAACAACAACAACAAAAACCCAAGAGATGAAAAATGCAATCTTTTTACATTGCCAATGTTAAAAGATGGTTTCCATAAATTATGTACAGTTTTAGCTTTTTGCAGTTATTTTTACTCAGGTAATATTTGACTAAACTTAAGCAGATATGACCTTACTTCAGGTGAAGTTGTAGTTTAGTCATCCGAGTAAAGAGAAACTCTTATCTAAAAAGCACATGAATATTTAATTCTGTGATTTCCTTTCCTTTTTTTAGAGATGCACTCAATAAAATGAAAGATGTATATGAGAAGAATCCGCAGATGGGGGATCCAGGGAGTTTGCAGCCTAAATTAGCAGAGACAATGAATAATATTGACCGCTTGCGAATGGAAATCCACAAGAATGAGGTAGATTTGTTATTCATCAGTTCTCTGAGACATACTTTTTAAAGTGTCATTAGAATGGATTGATTTTTGCTGGAAGTAGGTTTAAGTATTTAATTTTAGGATTTTTGATTGAAAGGTAAAGTATCATTATATATATATATATATATATATATATATATGTATAAAATCTACCTACCATAATCTGTATGTCATATAGATAGATTAATTCTTTAGTGGGCGTTCTTAAAACTTTGACGTAAAGGTAAACATTTATGCTGTGTTTTAAAAATCAGTTCACAGCACTGATTATTAATCAAATTGGAATAAACATTGCTAAGACTCATAATAGTTATAAAACCTCAAGGCACATTTCAAATGGAGGCTATTTTGTGAATTTTAGAACAGACTCAGCTCAGTTGACTGCTTGTTTGCTTATTTATGTATTTATTTTTTCCTAAGGCATGGCTCTCTGAAGTTGAAGGCAAAACAGGTGGGAGAGGAGACAGAAGACATAGCAGTGATATAAATCATCTTGTAACACAGGGGCGAGAAAGGTTATTTTAAAAAATTTTTTAAATTTGTAACTTTGTTTTGTCCAATTTTTCACCCCTTTGTTCTAAACTTCATACAGTTCTATTTCTTCATACGGTTTTCTCCCTTTCTTTCACGGTTACCTAATTTAATAAGTTTGGCATTTCATAACTTCAGTTTTTAAAATATAAGTAATTTTCTGTTCCTTTACATGATTGATTACAGGTGAAATATGATACTTCAACTTGCTGTTCAATTCTAGTTTATCATGCATCTAAAACTGATCTACTCTGTGAACATAAAATCTCAAGGCACAGGAAACTCAACATAGAAAGATTTGATTTAGGTAGAGTTGATAACTTATGCCAAAGAAAATTTTACTGCCAATTGCTCAGTTTTGTAAAGGAAAAAGAGAGTATACACTGTTAGTGTGGATCTGTTTCCATCTTGACATTTTGCCAAATTCCCATGTTTTTGTACTACTTGTGACATTTCTTCTTGTGTGTAATGCCTTCCTTTTCCTTCGCAATAAAAATGCACAATTTAGGATTTACTTTAGAGAAGAATTTGAGAGGTCTGTTCAAATCTTGGTTCATTACTTTTAATGGCTGATTAATTTGAACAAGTTCATTTTTAATATTCTGAGTCTGTTTCCTAATATATAAAATGGAATTTTAAATACACACTCTGGGGGTCGGGGAGATAGCTCAATGGAATAAGCGCTTCCCTGGCAAGTGCAAAGGCATGAGTTCAATCCCCGGTTCCACCAAAAAAAAAAAAACAAAAAAAAACAAAAAAAACAACCACACTCTGGAGCGTCATTAGTAATAAAAGAAACAATACACATAAACTATCTAGAAATAAAATACCTCAAAATAGTTTGTGCTTCACAAAGGTTAGTTCTTCCATCTCCTTTGCATGTTTCCTGTCACTTCTTGAGAATGTATCTCTTTAGTTTATCAAGAGAGATCCATAGGTAACTTTTATTATTAGCTGTTATTCTAGACTAACACAATCTAGCCTTTTGGGCATGCATTGTTTAAGAATGAGAATTCCAGGCTTATGGAAAAGTACTGCTAAATCTAATCCTGTAAACTTTTCTATTATTAAAATTTTACTCAGTTTTATATTTTGACCAAAAATATTCATTTTTTTCTTTGATTTGAAATCTTTTTAACAGAAATAAAATATACTTTTTATTACCTGTTGCTTAGGATCTAAGTTACTAACTTCTCCCTTACCACAATTAATTGGAAATTAACTTCTTGTTTTAATTAGAAGTCTTTTGGTTTTAAGCAATGTAGTGAATACTCTACTGATACTGGCCTAAACTAAAAATGAGCTTTGATAGTGAAGGAGAATCTAGGTGATCTGTAGGACCCAATTCTCATCACTTCTGTCCAGCTCTCCCTTTTACTATATGGGCTTCATTTTAAGCTTTTATATGATCTTCCAGAGCTCTAGGGAGTTTATTTTAGGTTCAAAATGAAAAAGGAATAAGCTTCTTCTAAAGCAGGGCCAGGGAGAGGTCCTTGTGCATGGCTTATTTCTGATTGGGTTACAGGTGGACTGGTGAACTCTTCACTTTCATCATATGAGTGCAGTACTTAAAATCCCTCTGTTGGACCACAGTAGAAATAGCCATTGTTAGTGGAACACTGAGCTGGATCAGTCCCAGGATACTTTTGCCAGAAGAGGGGATGATGAATCTGGGATTATGGAAAAACAGGTGTCTACTGTGTTTTTCCATTTTGTTTCTAGATCCAGTGACAGTGAGCTGTATTTGCGAATATTGCTGTGTCACTATAACATGGCTGAAGTTCCTAAAATAAAATTATCAAAAACTCACAAAGAAGCATTTTGTAAGAAACAATTTATATAGTCAATATCTAAGAAAATAAGCTTAATATGAAACTATACCATATAATTTTCTGAGTTGATTCTGAGGAGATCAACTTACAAATAATACATGAAAAGCTTTTGTGTTATTTGATTCAGACAAAAGTATATCTTCTTTTAGTCCTGAGGGAAGTTACACTGATGATGCCAACCAGGAAGTTCGTGGGCCACCCCAACAGCATAGTCATCACAGTGAATTTGATGATGAATTTGAGGATGATGATCCTTTGCCTGCCATTGGACACTGCAAGGCTATCTATCCTTTTGATGGTATGTTGTTCTTAATGTATTATATTTGACAAAATGGGTTCTATAAAGTTTAAATACATTGCCACTTATTTGACTGTGTTCACCTAAATAGTATGTTGTCAGAAAATTATAATCCTATTTATTAATGTGCATAATTTTATACATGTACTGCTTCCCTTCCACCTCCCACTCCCACATGAAACTGAAAGAAAATTATCTATGTTATCAACATTCTGTTACAGAATATTCTCTACTAACTGTTTGATACAGATTTTCTGTCCTGAACTTACTAATACTTATATGTATTTAACATTGTTGGAGGAGCTTGAGCATATACCCTACCCCAGGGAGGAGATGGCTGGTAAATAGCATGCTGTGGGTCCTCCTTGTAGCTTATGAACATTAAAGACAAGTGTAAGGCATGCATAGCTTAAAGCCATCATCACATTTTGACTGTGCTGGCTACTTTTTCAGTTGGCAGTGGGAAAGAAAGTGGTAGCCTCTGGCTGTGCCATCTTTTTCCCTGTGATAGTTGGAGAACAAACTGTTTAAGAAAAGTAAGAAATTATGGGCCTATCCTGCAGATGTTCAATTGCTCTTCCTCCTTTTTTTGGCAGGGTGCTGGAGTTCAAACTCAGGATCTTACACTTGCTGGGCAGGCACTTAAGCCACTGAGCTATCTTGTTGGCCCTTACTCTTCCTCTTCTTGACCCTAAAAAATTATTTTCCTCAACTAACACAAAAGTAATGTAACACTGCCATAATAATTAAGTTCTTTTAAAGTGGTGTATGATGCAAAGTCTTCTCCACTCAACCATTTTGTTGGTTTTAAAATTGAGTAAAAGGTGTAGTTCCATTACAAAGCACTTGACTAGCATGTGTGAGGCCCTAGGTTTGATCCCACCTCTGCAAAAATTAAGTCTTTAGTTACTCCTCATCTGAGATAACATTTAGAAAGATTTTGCAACGGTGCACTCTAGAAAGTAAAATAGATTTTAGCACATATTAAATGAAAATTAAGTTATACAAACCATTATTGCTAAGTGGGTTGGCAGTGGTTGGGGATGGAAAGAAAAGAAGTTCTGAAAGGAAGTCCTGGTGCTGATGAGGTCTTGAAGAAAGTTTGTGTGCTATGACCACTTTACTTCTGCCATCATCAAAGTTAAACAGTTTTTCCTCACCTCCCACCCCCATCATTTTACTATTTTCCTGATCCTTACCTCATAAAGTTTTTAGATAACAACACTATTCAAATTTGAGAAAGGATTTGAAAGAGTGAAATAGAAGTTAGAATACCTTGTCAAATCATATAGTATCATTGTGGCTCAGTTACTTCATCTATTATGTGGGATGATATTAATCTAGCTTCACACACTTAAGGTGGCTTAAAAATGTATGAGCGTTGAATAAGTACAGAGCATAATAGAAATGTTGCTAAAGAAAGCCAGTAAGTTGTGGGAAAGCACACTGGAATGTGTAGAGTCTCAGTTATTTTGTGTGTTACATTTTTAACTTTTATTAAAAATAATCATTATGCTTACATTATGCTTATGCTGTGAAAACTGTCGTCCAGGACATAATGAAGGTACTCTGGCAATGAAAGAAGGTGAAGTTCTATACATTATTGAGGAGGATAAAGGTGATGGATGGACAAGAGCCCGGAGACAGAATGGTGAAGAAGGCTACGTTCCCACATCATACATAGATGTAACTCTAGAGAAAAACAGTAAAGGTGCAGTAACTTATATCTAAACTAACCAGTCAGTTTTGTGCCCTAGGAACAGTAACATAAAATGAAACTCATTCAACAAGTCAGAAAAAATAAGAAAACTTTAAAGGGCATCCCAGTTCATTGTTCACTATGTGAGCTGAGACCACACTTGGTCTTAGATGTATGAATATTGCCACAAGTAACTGTTTCTGTGACGCCTTGTCATTTGAGTAATGTTGGTGTGAAACTTAATTGATGCCTTTTGCTTTATGTCCCGCTTGAGTCTGCGTGAAGAATTTGTGTTTTTCTGCCTTTTAAATGAAAGAACTTGATTTATTGGGCAGGAATCCATAAGTAGAATGTTCCCTTGTCCCTTTATGTCAGAAAACAGTGACCGTGTGAATTCAATTAAGTAAAACTGCTCAGAAAATTTATAGAAGGCTGTCTTCCAAAAGAGTGGTTTAGGCTGGGGATGTAGCCCAGCAGCACAGCTCCTGCCTGGCAAGCATAAGGTCCTGAGTTCAATTCCTAGAACAAACAAATAAACAAATAAATAGAATGGTTTGTTGTAGGAGTTTGAATTTGTAGCTTCAGTTTCTAGAGGAAAAAGTTGAATAACTGGGTAAAAGATAATAATGTAATAATTTTCATTTTCCTCTTTAGTCTTGGTTTTTTAAAGGAAGAAAATAAGCACCAAGTACATAATCTATTTAAGTAGTAGGCTAATCAAGAGATCTACAAAATCACCTGATCCAGCTTTTATATGAATAAATAGCTTTCTTTTGATACTAGAATTTTTTGTAGGCTTACTGGTAATTTTCAATAATGTATAAACTTCCTTCCAAATGAAACTCATGCTTATATTTTTTAATTTTGAAAATGTCTTTTGGGACTATCATGTTAGTGGCTATATAGCAATTGCACATAATCAAATAGATTCTAAATCTGTGAAGACTGAGGAAATCTTGGAGGGGAAGTACTGGCTATTGCTTACTTAGAAGAGAAACAGTTGTTTTGACTGAGTAGAGAGACAATACCTACACAGTCATTTTGTACTGAATTTAGCTGATAATCACTTATTAGAACAGATTATTTTTTCCATTTAATTTTAGTAAGCATTTGTTGGAAATACAGTCAAGGATCATGCAGCATCAGTTATGTGATCACTGAGTTAGTTGTGTGGGGAAGTAAAGGGAGATTTTAGAAACATTTGGGACAGATACTTTAAACTGAACACCCCTTTTGGTCTTACCAAAGGTCTTCAGTAATTGTTCTTTTCTTTTTCCTCTTGGACTACAGGTTCCTGAAGAGGGTTTCTGAGGAAATGGGCAAGATGTTGAAGGAGGTTACATGCAGCTGCTTTTGGGGGGAGGGTATTAGAGTTGTCAGGCTCAAAGAGAGAGCGAGAGAAGCAAGTTGCATGAGTGCATGCAGACATAATTATTTTTTTACTAACTTCATTAGCATATCCATACATTGTTTTAAAAAATCATAATTCCAGACCTTAAATTCCTAGTTCACAGTTGTTCACCTGGAAGGAAGAAAAAAGTGTCTAAGTCAGAAAGAATGCAGAGCTGTCATATAAAATTTGTCTTATACTTGGCTGTCCCAACAGGACCATCTCTGCCCAGCTCTGTTTCATTTGGTGTTTAGAGCCATTGTCTGTTAGCATCCTTGCCATTTGTCAGTGTCTGCCTGCGCCACTTCCGTGCTTGCTTAACATCCTGTTGCATGTCTAGAGTGATTGAACTTAGATTTTTTTTAGGCATGTCTTTATAATCCCTTGTTTTTGTCAAAGCTTTTGTTTTGTTTCACATTTGTAGTACAAATCACTTTGTCCAACATGTCTAGCACTAATATTTCCATATTAGTATTTGTTTATGCTGCTATACCTTCCTCACTGCAAAACATTCCAGTTTTGGCTTATGAAGACATAGTCTGTGAACCTGAAATTTTGATGATAAGAAAAAGAAAACATCTCTGCTCTAGCCTACTGCCCATTCGAAAGAACTCTGAAACGTGATACATCTTCAGCATCTTTCTGGGAAGAATCTATAGTTAGCACTGAAGTCCTGGCATAATAAACACAGAAGATACTCACCAACTCAAGACAAAGGACTGTTGTCAGAAGTCAGCTGCTTCCATTCTAATGCTGCCTTAAACTAGAGTGCCTAAATCTGTTGATTGCCAACACAACCACTACAGTATCCCACAAAGGGCTTTATGTATCAGCTCAGTGCGACCTCCTTTAACTCTACAGCACTGCTACAGCTGCTGATGTAGCCTTGGTAGGTGGCCTTTAGAGCTCTACCATGTACAATGGTGCATCTTCCGATTTATGCATCAAACTAAAGACATGTCCCTGTCTATTTTACTTAGTGTTTTATGAGAAGTTTTATGGATCTCCCCATTGTCTTTTAATTTAGGATTATGATGAACTAATTTGATTATTATGATGATATAGTCTCTTTCCAAGTGATGCTTTTGTTTGAACCAGGTAAAATTTAGTGAAACTTTGTAATGATCTATGTGCACTTTTACTTGTAAAGTGGAAATTTCTGTATGTTTATACTTGTAAATATAATTGTTGTTAGTACTCCTAATGCTCATGTTGTCCTTGCCTCGCATTTGTGATTTTGTTCATGACTTGTATCTGAACTAATTTCTTAGTGGTGTAATAGGGATGTGGGTTGGTGTGGGGGGGGGAGTTATTTGTACCACTAAAACTTCTTTAATTTGGTTCTTTAATGTATTGAGGGGAGAAAAAGAACGTGAAATGGTTTGTGTATTATTGGATTTTAAGCAATATTTTAGAAGCTTTGTGGCTGTTTTAATAATTTTTCCCAGTGTTATTTGAATCATACAAGTTATACTGAAGCTAAATGACAATTGTGTTAATGCCTTCATAAGAGCAAGTACACCACTGTTACACAGCTGACTTGTAGTGTATTACCTTTGAGGCTAGTAAACTATAAAGTTTAGATATTGAATCTCGTTACAGGGTTATTTATATAATGTGATATTATTCAATACTGACATACTACATGAAGTAGTTTTAAAACCTAGTACTATTTTTATTTTAAAGATTAGCAATGAGAAGGAAATGTGATCTGGCTGTTTGTCTTTTGTACAAAGCCTGAAGTGCTTATGTTTTGTTGGCCAGCAGCCATGAAGGGCAAAGTTGAAGGCTTTCTTGTAAGGACTAACTGTTCTTTTCAAGCTACTGTTTGTTTTTCTAAAAGCAGGATTTGCTTCCGTAGGAGGCAAGTTCCATCATGTGGAATAGTGAAGCCTATATATGGGTTATTACAATATAAAAGACATTTGTACTTGCACATTCTTAAATCATTCTTAAATTTTGAACATGTGAATTGTCCTAAAGAAATTAATTTTTCAGTAATTTTTACTCTGTGCACATGTTGATTTCTTAATGGTAAAAGCTTTGTTAAAGATAGTGTTCTCTTGAGAATATTTTCATGGAATAAAATAATCTTTTCATGGTGAGTTAAGTGTATATCTCTTATTACTATGTGAACCAAAGAGATGTGATAATTTTGTTCTTGAATATGCTAAACTTTAGGTAATACAAAGTAGATGATGTATTCCTAAAGTGAGGCAACCTTTTTGCAACCAGTTGTAGAAATTTTATTCTGGTTTTAGTGTTTCTCAAGCTTTCATCAGGGAAATGATAAATATTTCTTTAGAATAAATTTAAATTGCATGTGATAATTTGGGTTTATCTTCATTCAACAATAGCCACATTACACAGGTTGTCTCTTTATACGGTTTTGTCCTCTACACCGGTAAGAACTGCCTTTGTACCACATAGCCCAATCTACCACATACTTGTTTCCTGTGTTTCTGCTCAATTCCTATTCAGTTAGGGAGGGTACCTGTACTTCCTGATGTTTCAGAGCATGGAAAGGATACTGTAATTGTGACACATAAATGTATGTAAGATTTAGGAAGTATAATTTTAGAAGACTTCATCTTTTCAAAAAAGCACGTGTGAAACTAACACTGCAAACTTCTAGAAATCCAAAAAGAATAAAACTAATGGTTGATCCTGAGCAATGAAAGATTGCAGTTATTGAGATGAAAAGTTATTGATCAGTGCTAAACATAGAAGTAAGGACACAGAAAACAAAGTAGGAAAAGTGTCCAGTGTTACTGATTCAGATGAATGAAAGTTTGGAGGGGGAAAAAAGCTGAAGGCAATGAAAAAGGCTTTTAACTCATTTATGCTGAAGGTTACGGTTTTTAAAAATGAAATTTATACATGTTACATAAAAAAACTCAAGGAACTAGAATTTGTTTTTTAAAATAATTTTATTGAGAAACAAATAGCAATGAGTTTCAAAACCGACTAGTAGGACAGTTTCAATAATTAATACATTGCATATTGTTGTCTTAGTGGTTATTCATTGTACAAGATGCAGAAATGATATCCTGTCCACAAACACTATTAGAACAAATTTCTCTATTCATTGAATTAAGAGAAAGTAGCTGTATATCTATCCTACTTTGAATATGCAGATACAAAATGGTTGTTCATTTGTATCCCCTTTTTTTGTTTAGTTTTGTCAGAGAAGGGTATTCCATTGTCATTTAAATATTGTAGGTGTGTGAATTCAGCAAAATATTCAATATAGTCCAGTAGTCCATAATAGTAGTGGGTTTTCCGTAGGACTGGCTAACGTCAGAAGTTTTTGACGTGAGCCTTTTACAGCTCAGCATATTAATATGGCTTTACTGTTTATACTTTGTTTTTATACTTTTCTGCTGGATGGTTTAGACCAAGATGAAACATGACCTCTATAAGAAGAAATAAGTTTTGTATGTGATAAGGTCAGTCAGATCCCCTCAGGATTTATCCTGGCACCCTGCACTGCAGTTTGTAGATCCTTTGTCAATGTCAGCCATGTGGATGAGTCATGGCCATTGCTTGACCAATTTGCTCTCTGTGAAAGCCTGAGAGAATGTTTTCTCTCCATGTGACTCTCCTTAGGCTCACTCTACATCGTCGATCATTTTCCTCTGTGGCCCCATAATCTCCTTGATTAGAAAATTTGGGACACAACTGAGTTACATGATAAGGAACTAGAATTTGAAGAAAACTTTTTACTATTTTCTGTTACGTGCTATTCCAAAAATGGAGCACTAGGCCTAAGAGCATTAACTATCTAAACTAAGATCAGACCTTATAACAATATTAACAGAAGGGAAAGAAATTCAGTCTTGTTGTAAAGGAGGGTCACTGACACAGGAAAGCTCTAGATGCAAAAGATTGGGGAATAGGTGCAAATAAATTTTGGAAAGTAAATTTTAAAGAAATTTGACGACAACCGTTAAATGTAGTAGATAATGTTTAGCATTTGGAAGAAATATTAATAGACAGTTAACTTCTGTTCATAAGAAAAAGTCCCTTCAAATTAACCTTATTCCTTCCTTTAGATATAAATGAAGATATCTAAGGTATAATTAAAGTCTTCATTTCAGCACAATTTCTGTTTGACAGAATTTCTGACTCATTTTCATAAGATGGTAATCATTTTGTGTGGAGAGTGGTGGGGAGTTGTGACAAGCTGGTTTGATGAACTCAAATTCTCAACCCAGGAGGTAAGTTTCTTGAGGAAAATATGTACATGTACGTTATGAACAATAACAAATGGGTAACCTAGTTTAACAAATGGAAAATTACCTTCTTCCATGACTAGCTATTAACTTCACTTTTGAATTTGTTTTGTTTTTCTTTATAGTTTTACTGCATAGATATTTTTCCTAAAATTGATGTTTTCCAACTCTAAAAGGATGATGTTTGTAAAGACAATATATATGTGATATTTAGCTAGTACATACTGATAAGATATAAAGCTGTAGTGAATGCTAATTCAAAATGTTTCTATACTGATCAATAAAAATGGAAATGTAGAAAAATAGTAACACTGGTTAATCTTAAAGAGTTTTGTTTCCATATGACACGCCAAGTTAAAAAGGCATTTCGTATGCCAGCACTGGAGACAAAGCTACTGGTTTACTGTATTACTTACTTTAGGTATTGAGGAACCTTCTCTGTTCATGAGCACTTCTGTATGAGAAGAACCTGGACAGCCTCAAAGATCCTTACTTTGTTTATCTTCTAAAGAAATTTCTCATCTTGCTCAAAGTATATGAATCCCAAGTCTTGCCTGGGTGGTGGTTGGGGGGAATAGGAAAGGATCATGGGGGACAGGTACAGGTGATGAAAGAATTGGCTTTTGTGGCAATGCAGTAATGTCCTTTAGATGGTTTTCAGAAGTTTTAGGGTGTTTTTTTTTTTTTTTTTTTTTGAGGCTCAAATGCTTTTAGGGCATTTCTGGTTTTCAGTAACTGTCTGGGTTCGAACCAAAGAAGCTTGAGCTTGAGGGCTTTGCTTAAGCAGTCACTTAAACAACTGAGGTTTTCAGAAGTTTTAGAGAGGGCAGTTTATTCTCTGTGGGGGAAAGTGGCCTTCCTTGTGCATTTGAGGTGTGAGAAGAGGGACTGTTCTCTACTTAGCACCAGTACCCAGATGGTACTGTGCTCTCTGGTGAAGGGAAGAGGTGGGATGGGTGTTAGCTGTGTGTCCCTTCAGGTGCTAGACAGAACATCAGTAAACTAATGACTGAATTGGGAGGGATGCTTATGCCATTGAAAAAGCTGGCAGTTTCATGTGTAGAGTTGTAGGGACATGAGTTACCTGGTGACAGCCATAGCAGATGAAATAGGGCCAGAGTTATAGCTCAGTGGTATAAGTGCCTGTTTGGCAAGCACAAGGTCTTGAGTTCAATCCCTGGTACTGCACAAAACAAAACCAAAAACCTGTGTCATAGCAGATGAAATTATATCAATCTTTTGTGTAAACAAATGAATTGAAAATGAATGGTAATTGATGAAGGGCTAATTTTGTCTAAAGGTTTTGTTGTGTAGTTTATTTAAAAGAATTATTTTGCTTGTTTTTCACATTGGCTTAAATATTTATGTATTATGTACATAGTAATTTATTAACAGCTTACTTATCAAATATCTTTGAGTATTTCATTGGGCCTTGACTTGATTTTTACTTATTGCTGTTCATAAGATTATCCATCTTTTTAAAATTTTTTTTATTTTTTAATAGATTGCAAATTGAAAAAAATTATTTACAAACATAAATGAATATAACAAAACTGTCCAAAGTAAAAATGAAGAATTTACAGATCAGTCAAGATTATCCATCTTTTGTGCATGACTTATTTTACTGTGCATAGTATTCCACTATATGAATACACAACTTATATATCTTTCCATTGATGAACATTTGGGCTTTTTCTTGAGTTTGCTAGAAATGCTACTTATGCGTATCCATATGAATGTTTACTGATACATGGTTTTTCTAAAATATATATCTAGGAATAGAATTACTAACTTAGGGGTTATGTTTTTAATTTTAAAGACATTGTTACATTTAATCTCCAAGTTTTTACAGTATTTTTATACTCCAGGATTATTTATTTATTTTTAATTCTTTAAAGAGAATATAAATAGTAAAAATAAAAAAAGATACAGAATTTCACTAAACAAAGTAATAAGAATTGAACAATTATTCTGTTACATAGTTTTGTCTTCAAATTGGTTGTTTAGATTACCAGGTATAATCATGCAAAATTAGTAAAAAGGAAAAAAAGTTGTAAGAATTTAAAAAGAAAATAAATTTAGGCATTAACTGCACCTTTCAATAGACCAGCAGAAAGTAGCCCTACAACTATCTATGACATTCTATATATGTATATAAATATATCTCCTTTCCCTGTTGTCTCAGTTACTCTTGTTGCTGGGACAAATACCTAACATTAACTTTTTTTTTTATTTTCATTTTTTTATGTATTTGGTACAGAGTCTTGCTACGCAGCTTGGACTTTTAGTAATCCTCCTGTTTTCAGCCTCCCCAGCACTGGGGTTACAAATGTGCGCCACCATGCTGGGACTCAGGTTGCTGGCTCAGCGTGCCCTGGGGGCATGGCCAGCAATGCGTATGACACTTAAAGGAAGGAAAGGTTTATTTAGCTCACAGTTACTGGAGGTTTCATTCCATACATGGCTGTCTCCAAGGCAGAGCAGCACATGGCAAAGAGCAACCTTTCATTGTGGCAGCAAAGAGCAGAGAGCCAAAGGGAGGAGTATTGGCATCAGTGGCAACACAGAGCAAGTCTGTCTCCCTTAAGATGCATTCAAGCTATCTCCACCAGGTTGGATGTAGTACTCACACCCATAATCCCAGTAGCACTCACACCCATAATCCCAGTGGATCATAAGTTAATCACAAACTGTAGAACTGTACCACAATGACTGCATGAGGCTTTGGGGAGACAGCTAGACACAAATCATAATACCTGTGCTTTTCTTCATCCCAGTCTTTCTTTCCCTTTGAAGACATTCTTTCCCTTTCCAAGTATCTGTTTTACTGTTCAGATTTTATTGACTCTTTCAGGTTCTTACAGTAGTGA